CTTGGTAAGAACAAAGAAAACACAAAATGATGGGCTTCATCAACAATCAAAAATATATACATTTATTTTACAAATTCTATATTATTATGGTGGCGTCCTTCAGAGAATTAAAAATACAAAATTATCTTCATCGAAGCAGATGCTTTACATCCGGCGTTCAGTGGCAGACTACTATTTCATATTGTTTTACGGCACATGGCTTTAGCCCTCTGGAGGGAAAGACTTTAAAACAAAGCTTACAGCAGTTACTTTTCTCAACAACTAAAATTTAGAATAGTGTGATTAAGAAAGATATGTGAACTGTTTGCAATTTCAAATCAATATTGAAATGTACAGGTTTAGAATTTTCTACAGTGAAAAGTTTTCGGAACTTCAGTATTCAAAAAAGTATACAAAAACTAGACGTTAAGAACGTATCCAATGAGCGAGCAAAGCGAGCATTAAATTGCGAAGCAATCCGAAATGAACTGTGAAAGCAGTTCCGGGAGTTGGTGAGCGCCAGCGAGCAGGGGGCGAAGCCTCCTAGTATATATATTTTTTTTTTACCTCAAAATTTTTTTTTTCCGGATTTTTCCGGAATTTTGACTTGGGCTCACAATCACCCCTGTGATTCCAAAGGTTGGTACTGCTTCAGATTGCTCATTACCTTGAATTTTATCATTGACTCATCTACTCAACTACATCGACTGCCTTGTACTGTCAGTGAAACTCTTCAGAAAAGTACTTCAAACAGGAAAATTACTTCCTCAATATTATATAAATTAGAAGCATCCAGAAACTTTTCTGAGAATTGAGGTATAATTTTGAAGTAAAAAAGAGGATGAAATCCATACTTATCACTTATTGAATGGCTTCGCTTCCCTGCAAACTACTGACTTACCAATGAGCTCATGCTCAACATTTCTCCAACAACTTTCATGATTTCGAATGGGTTAGTCTTTTTATGTATTTCGGCCTTTGTCTACCTAATGATAAACTTGCTTCCTTGATTTCTTCATTTATCATTTTTATCCTTCCATTTGAACAATAGGCTATATAAAAGAATAAGCTTTTGGGAAACATCTTAAAGAAAAATCTAATTCTGTCACTTCATCATCAATAGAGAAATTTGTTTCTTCCTTGATGTAGTTAACTAGTGGCATTCATGGTGTTAAGTTACTTATGGCACTATAAAAATGATAATGGCGAATTCTGAAGCTCATTATCTTCAAACAAATCCTTGTGATACGGTGGGACAACTTCATCATTGCTCTTCTCTTTGCTGCTTTCCCCTGATTTAAGCTCAGCATATTCAGATTAAGAAGTGTCACAAAAAGAAGCAAGTTTTCTCAGTTTGTCATCAGAGTAAATTCTTACTTTACTCCATATTGAGAACAGGGAAGGAAAAAAACGAAAAAATTATGTTTAAAAAAATTTAAAGGGGTGCATGTTGGAAGAGAATAATGAATAAATTGATGTATGGAGTCAATTGCTGAACATAATTGCCCATTGTCACTTGTTTGATCACCAGGGAACAATTGATATAAGAAATTCATGCACTCATTATGTATTTTGCGGCGCAACTTAAGGTTTTCTGTGCCTAAATATTTTTTAGTTACTGGGACATGTCCGAGCTGTAATTTCGAAATCTTTCAAGACTAGGACATGATGTACCCTGTGCAGTGTAAGAAAATTAAAAAATAATTTTAAAAAATTTAAAATTTAAAATAGAAATATTTTTATTGGGTCCAGTTTGAAGAAATTGAAATAACATTCTGGGGTACAAATAACTGTCCAGTTAGAGGAGTGTCCGCCATACAGTGAATGTATATAATGGTTTATTCGTATAATATTCATGGGAAATTTTAAAAAAAAATCTGTAATGAGAGGATTATTTTGTAGAAGCTTCCGCAATGAGTGATTTCTCTGTACAATTTTTTGAAAATAAGACCCTTTTAATTGTAAATTTTGAATGGACTAATACTTATCAGCTTATTATACCTATTACTTTATTCTTCTGAAGTTGTAGGTATTTTCTTAATTGTAATTCTATTATATATTTATATAGCAAAAATACTATAGATAAATTTCTCTAATAGTCTAGTTAAGCAATTTCTATAATGATTTAGAGTTTTTCTATCGAGAGCTCAGAGGAAGAGCCATAAAATGGGGCAGAAGTCTTGACTTATTAATTAATATAAGCCTTTTTTATGTAATTTAATTTTGTGCTTTTACTGTTATTTTTCTTAGTTATTTCCCCACAACCATTCTTATTGTTTCTTTCATTTATTATAATTACTTAATATTTATTTTTTGTTTCTTAATTTTTTTTTATTCATTTATTAAAGATACATCTTTTGAGATAATAAAATTATAATATTTGGCATAAAATTATATTATCTAAGCACACAAAACTGATTTTTTCTGTAAAATGAGAATAAATATATGTTAATATAAACTCTAAACTGCACCAAAACAGTAACAATTGTTGTTCTGATATAAGTAAAAATGATTCTATGTAATAAATTTTCGAAAAAAAAAAAAAGCTTTTCATATTTCTAGTATTATATTGAATTTGTTATAAATATTTCCAGCAATTTGTTAAAATTTGCTGATTGTTTACTAGTTTAGCATTTAAAAATTGCTTTTCTCGAAAATGATGGACTTAATTTATATGGTGTTTTATGTTGTTGCAGGTTTCTCTCCAAGCGATTCTGAAACAAAGGTATGTTATCTAATTTATCTACCTTAATTTTACTAATATAATTGCTATGTTGTTCTGTTTTGCATTAATGTATTTTAATTTTCATTGTAATTGTGTTGTATTTTCGTAATAAACAGCATGTTTTTCATGCTTAAAATATGCCGGATATCCACACACCTGGAAAGTCATTGAAAATCGTGGAAATTCAATGATTTCAACCTTGATTGAAAATTGTGAAAAATCATGTGTTTCAGTAATTTATGCTAAAAATCATGGAAATTTCCAGTTCGTCATAGGTTCGGAGTATTGGAGCCCTTAATCCTTTTAAAAGGGTTTGAAAATTCCACATTGCGATTTGTATTGATATGATTTAAAAATAGCATATCATGATCTGCATTCGCGTGATTTAAAAGTCCCTCATTATAATCTGAATTTGTGTAATTTTAAAAATTACACATCCTGATCCATATTTGAGCAAATTTAAATTCACACATCAGAATTTGTAATCGCATGATTTAAAAAAATACATAGTGCTATCCATATTTCTGTGATTTTAAAATCACACATAGTGATTCTCATTTGTGCAATTGAAAAATCCTTCATCACGATCTGCATTTGTTTGATTTTAAAAAAAGCACACATCGTGATCTGTATTTGTGCTAATTCAAATTCTCAAATCGCAAATTGTATTCACTTGATTTTAAAAATACTCAGCGCCTTTACTATTCATGTGATTTAAAAATTATTTGTTATAAATCCATATCCATTACATTTAAAAATTCACACATCGTGATCCGTATTTGCGTGATTTTAGAATCAAACATCGTGATCTGTATTTGTGCGAATTTGTAATCACACATCTAGATTTGTTTTCACATGATTTAAAAAATACACCGTGTGATCTATATTCTTAGATTTAAAATCCCTTATCACAATCTGCATTTGTGTGATTTTTAAAAATCATACCATGATTCGTATTTGTGTAATTTAAAAATTGCACATCACAATTTGTATTAATGTGATCTAAAGCGCGATCCTTATTTGTGCGATTTAAAAACCACACATCTGGATCCGCATTTGTGATTAATGTTAGTCCGATTTAAAAATAATCATGCATTGAAATCGGCATTCATGCAGTTTGAAAAATCATACATTGTAACCTATATTCGTGCGATTCAAAAATTACACATCACTGTTTGAATTTGCATGAATTTAAAAGTACATGGTGTGATCCGTATTCCTACAATTTAAAAATTCCTTCACCGAGATCCATTTGTGCAATTTAAAAATTACTAATAACAAACTGCATTTTTAAGATTTTTTTTTAAAAAAATTACACGTTGTAATCCATATTAGTGTTATTTAAAAATCGCATAGTGCGATCCATGTTTAGGTGATTTAACTCACACATCATGATTCCTATTCACGTAATTCAAATATCACATGCAGCAATCCGCATTCATGCAATTCAAAGAATAACGTAATATGATCTCAGATTTCATATGATATGAAAGTCACACTTCGATATATTTAATCACAATATTATATTATATTGCATGATTTAAATATCAAACGTAGCGATTCGTGTTTCCGCGAATTAAAAAATCGCAATGTAATTTAAAAATCATTGTAATTCATATTCACTGGATTTAAGCAGTTTTCATCATGGACTATATTATATTAATGATTTATTATCCTGTGTCAACGTGAAGTATTTAAAACTGTAAAATTTTGGGTAAGACCTAATTTTTGACAATGCTGGTTTTGGTTTAAAAATTTTTCAAGTTAATGATTTTTATTGTTTAAGATTTGAAATTTATTTTAAAATTTAATTTGTAATTTATTTTGTTTTCATTTGACATAAGCATCTCTTTTTTCACCATAAATACAAAAAAACACAAATAAAATTAAGAAAAACAATAAGTTTCATTTATTGCGCATAAGCTGCAAATAAATGGAACTCATTAGATAAGTTCAAAATGAAGATAAAACAAAGTAAAATTACAGACATATGGAAGAAAAAAAAGGGGGGGGAGAAAAATAATAGTAAAAATAATAACAAACAACTGGAAAGAAAGAAAAAAAGGATAAAAATTTTTTTTAAAAATTCGGAAAATAAAAGTTATAATATTTTCATCAGCCCACGCGATTATATCCGCAAAAAAAGTGCTTTTTGATATTGTATCAATGTAGCCAAAGCAAAATATATTAATACAATAGTGTGAGGAGCACTCAAAAATTTTTTTCACAAAAATTACAACAAATGAAATAGAACACAATAAGTAAAAATATATCACTTAAAAACAGAAAATAAAATAAGATAAAAAGAAAGAACAGAATAAAACATAACCCATAAAGCGAGTAGCGAATTCAACTGTACTTACTTGAACGGGAAATTTTACAAGAATGATTTAAAAAAGATTTTCGTAACAAGATTGCCAGATTGCAAAATATGAAAACAAAAGCGCAAATTGAGTGTAACTAGAGGAGTTTTGTTTTAAAGTGCTACTGGTTTGTCCAACATATTTCATGTTACAGGAACCGCAGGTTAACATATAAAAAACATTTTTATATTTTACAAAAAGATTTAGAGCTAACGTTATAAAGAAATGTATGTTTTTTGTCAGTACTAGGGCAAGTTTTGCATTCGGGACCATCCTTGGTAACTAACAAATCAAACGCACTTCAGCAAAGCAGTACGAATGGCACTTTAAAACAAAACTCTAGTTACGCTCAATTTGCGCTTTGTTTTCATATTTTGCAATCTGGCAATCTTGTTATAAAAATCTTTTTTAAATCATTCTTGAAAAATTTCCTGTGCATTTGAATTTGCTACTCGCTTTATAGGTTATGTTTTATTCTGTTTTTTCTTTTTATCTTATTTTATTTTCTGTTTTTACGTGTTACATTTTTACTTTTTGTGTTCTATTTTATTTGTTGTAATTTTAGTAAAAAAAAATTTTTAGTGCTCCTCACACTATTGTATTAATATATTTTGCTTTGGCTATATTGAGACAATATCAGAAAGCACTCTTTTTTGCGGATATAATCGTGTGGGCTGATTATATCTTTTATTTTCTGGATTTTTTAAAAAAAATTTATCCTTTTTTCTTTTGTTCAAGTTGTTTCTTATTTTTATTATTATTATTTTTCTTTCCCCCCCCCCCTTTTTTTTCAAATATCTGTAATTTTCCTTTGTTTTATCTTCATTTTGAACTTTTATATATATATAATGGTTTTATGAACCAGATTTTTTTTTCCAACTGAAATGATGTCATTGCCAAACAGTGTGGTGATAGTACCAGAATTTTTTTTCTCCTTGTAAATACCATTGTTTTTACATAGATTCAGTTTAGTTAAACGAAAAATCATTGCTTTACTTTCGTTATTATTGTTTCAGTGTAAATATCATTGTTTTTAAGAAGATTTAGGTATAGATTATCGAAAGTGACGTCGTATGAAATTATTGTGTTTCTGCCCTTTCAGTGAGTGTGTACTGGAGCTGACTGCTTTCTTGGGTTCCTAACTAGACATTTTCAGCATTATTTAATAGAAAGCTGTTGTAGAAGTGCATTTCTGGTAGGTGCGTAATTGATAATTCGTATAGGAATAGCACTTAGGGGGCTTAAAAGATCAGGAATAAAATGTAAACTCAATTTTTAGATGGTTAAAAGGTTAAAAAAAATTACAAAAAACGTTTAGAAATGCTATGGAAATATAAACTTAAGTTAAACTTAACATTCATAAGCGCTAGTTTTATACAGTAAGAAAATTCAATCAAAGCAAAAAATTTACGATTAAATCAAATATTTTAGTAAGTTACTGGGATAATAGTTATTAAAAAATTTTATACGTGAAGCAACATACACTACTTTGAGATTAAGAGTGCTTGAACGCTATTTGATATTAACAGAATGTATACATTATTAGTAAACTTATTATGTAAATAGGATAAATTGGACTTCAATTTTTTTTTAAATTTAATTTTATGACATCGTACAATTTATTATTTATTATGTTATTTCTTGTTTGAATTCATTATATGCTATCTGTATTTTGTTTCATAATCCTTGACAAAAATCATGGAATCATGAAACTTGCTTTTAATTTTTTTTTTTTTTTAGATTTTACAATTTTGGGGAAATAGAAATACTTTAAAAATCTTTATATCTGTAAACAGCAATTACACACGAGAGACTGCAATGCATTTCTCAACAGTGCCAGCATCTATTGATTTGACAAAACAAGTTCTTCCGATTGCATAGGGCAACATGTTCTGACCGTTTCTAGAGTAACTTAATTCATTTGTAAAGCAATTATAAGTCTGTTTGAGTCATGAGATAATCATTTAATTCAAACTGCTGAATTGGAACTCTAACAAATTTACGTTTTATGTCAAATCCTTTTGAATAGATTTTTGTAGCTCATTTTTTGTAACATATAAAATAAGCAATTTTTTTTATTAGATTACAGGAATCTCCCTTTACCAATCTCCGTATCTGCCTCTTATTAATTTTTTTTCTAAAAAAGTAAAGAGATCTATATTTTTTCAAGAAAGCAAAGATCGCTTTGTTAATAAGCTATGCAATTTTTAAAATTTTGTTAACACGTGGAATGCCACTCTAATTTTACATGGCTTGCCGGTTTGGCCAAACGGTAAATAACTACAAACTAAATTTGCAAATATAAGACAGATATTGCTAGTTTTTTAAAAGGTTTAGCATGACATATCTGAAAAAAGTGGTGAATTATATAAGCCTACGATTTGTTTAGAAATAATGGTGGATAAAAATCTTCTAAATTGAATTTATTAAACCAAGACTAACAATTAATAAATTACCACTTGAAAATATTTATTCGCTGTCTGGAGCAAGTTGGCATCTCTGTGTATATAAATAAAACTNTTTCACCATCAACACCCTTCCTTTTTTTTTTCAATTGTCATAAATTTGTTTACAGTGCAAGATCAGATCAACAGGCTAAATACCAAAAGTTTTAATTCTATTAAGTATGTTGTTATTTTTAAAATTTTTGTTGCATTTAACTGCATTATTATTAAAAGCTTGCTAACTATCAATTTTTGGTGTGTCGTATGGTTGTTTTGAAGTGGTTCCAAAAATGTCTGAAAAAGGTGACAGTAGATTAACTACTTTGATCAGACTTTTATTATGTTACTGTCTTGAATGCCATTTAAAGTCTAGTCTATCTATAAAAACTGTGTTGATTTTAAGATCCCACTTTTATTGCTAACTCAAATAGGTACTACAAATAATGTTCAAATAAAAAAATTTATTTAAATATTGTATTTTTAAATTACATTGTTATTACTGCATATCTTATCAATTTTTAAAAATGACAGTTAAGTTATGATTTTATTTAATTCTCATTTTACAATAACAAAAACATTTAAAATCAAAAAATTTTTAATTACTTTTTTGCTAGTTTAACCTATATTTTTGAAGAAACTATTTAAAAACTAATTATTTTCGAATTTCAAAATTATGCAATATTCAGTCGCTTTGTACTCACTAAACACCATTATTTCAACAGGAAAGCTACTTTGTTTTTAAAAATAATTCTGTAATTGTGGGATTCGTTTAAAAAGTTTGATATGAAGAAATCTTATTTTCTCTTGCATATATGCTATTTTCAATGGTTATTTTGATTTTAAAAAAAAATTTCTGAATAACTTATTATTTCCATAATTTATTTAAGATTCTGGAGCAAGGCCAAAGAATAAAAATTCAGAAGTAAGAAGCTTTTATTTTCTTTAAACAAGAAAATCATAGGCATTTGAATACATATATAGTGTATATAGCATTTGAGTATTAATAAAGTAGGGTTTCAAATGCCTAACTCAACAAATATATGCTATGATGTTAGGAAGAATTAAAACAAACCGTTATTTCATGCATCTATATTCTAAATTTCACACACTTATTTTTTATATTTCATGAGACAATGTATCATTTTGAAATTGAGAAACATGGAGGAAGTTCACATGGAGTAAAATATGTTTAAAAGTGTGCAGTTTCAATTAAAGTTCAACATAATGAACTAAGCTATAAAATAAAACGCAGTGATATTTTTTCATCCTAATTAAAATAATTTTTGGATCGTCTTAAAAAATCAATACAGTTATTTTTTTAAATGTTTCAGATTTATAAAGATTTTGAAAACGCTTTAAAAGAGCGTCTCAACCCAGTGCAGTCTGACCACCCATAATATTATTTTAAAGTGCATTGAATAAATATATGATTAATAGGTTTAAAGATAGTAACTGACAACATCTTTATTTGGTAGGAATTATTTTTTAAACCAATATTTTAATGTTTTTGATTATTACCTAGAAGTTCCCAGAAAAAAATTTCTTGTATTCATATAAAAGCTTAATAAGTAAATTATTAAAAGTAAGATTTTTTTCAAAATCAGGAAGTAAATATAAGTATCGTAATTTCGCAGAGATACACTGCCCTGGGATATGCACCACACCTGCAAAATCTAACTAAAAAATAAAAGTTTTCCTTCAGAAGGGCCATACTATTGGATATACTCACAAAATTTTACTGAGTAATCATTCACGGAGTTACACCGCATATCTTACAAATAATAAGCTGTATATAAAATAAATGATTAAACATTTAAAATAATTATTAAATATACAATAAGTTAATATACAATCTTACTTAAAATCAGAAATTATGCATTTAGACAGTTTTATCATAACTTTCCAACTGTACACAAAATTATACAGTGTACAATAGTATGCAATTTAAATACAACAGAATCCCAAACACATGTTAAATACTTTAAATACTAATTTAAAATACTCAAATTTTATGCAAACTGATTAAGAACCTAAATATAATTAAACTAAGTTATCAAAATACAATAAATTGATAAAAAGAATCTTACTTCGCACAAAGTTCACCATATAGGGCAATCGCATCATGTCGCTTTGCTGTAATTTGATTTGAAATAATTAACTTAAATATTAATAAATCTAATAATTAAACTGCTGAACTTACAATAATTGAAAAAAATATTAATAATGATTAAATTAAATAAGTCTTATTTTTATTAAAATTGTATTACACAAATGCATACCATTTCTTTTTTCTAATTTTAAATTTAGAAAATTACCAAAGGATAAACAGCTAAAAGCCTTTAAAAATTTTTTTAAAAAATGACATAAAAATTTAACAAATGTCTTTTTGTGCAAAATTAAAGCTTAAAATGATCATGAATGCAATATTTTTTTTAATAATTAATTTATGATATTCTAGTTATAAATAAATCAAATGATTAAACTGCTAGAAATGATTAAAATAAACATTAAATATAAAATAAATATGGTGGTTACTTTTATCCACTTGCTCATCACATTGCATCAATTTACTCAAGCATCTCTACATTTCGTAATCGTATATTTCCAAGAGTAAAAATAATAAAGTTGACCTTCAACTGAAAATGGGAAAAAACTTGACTTTCCAGATAGATCATTTAAGCATATCATCCAACTCATTTATTTTAGAGAATGACTTTCATTTTTTTCTTTCTTCACACCTGCAGAAAAAGAAAGGGGAATCGTGCATCCGTCAATCCTTGTCTTGTAAGAGGCTATTTGCAGAGTGGTTGCGGGAGAATTCATCGATGAACTCTTTGGTTGAAAGGGAGAGTGTTTGTTGCACTATTGTTCCATTCTTACAAACTGTTTTTTGCCCACTTTGTTAATTCTTTAAATAATTATTGATAGTAAATTATAAAAATTGATCGCTGCATAAGATAAAAAAAAAAAGGAAACAGTAATAATGAAATTTTGATGAATCAATTCAACAAAATAGAATTTTGAAGTTTATGTAGTAAAAAAAAAATACTCAGGTCAAACCGCTTTATGAGATATGCCACACATACCAAAATTTAATGTTTTAAATCATAAATGCTGCGATGTATCTCCGCGAAATTACCTAAATTTTTTTATATGTAGTAATTATTTTTCAAACTTTAAAAATAATCTTAACATTCTATATATTTCCCAATGTCTTAACTTTCAGAAGGTTAGAAGGTTGTTTAATAGGCTGCCAACTCTAAACACTCCAGGAAATTCTTTTCTCTTAGAGGCTATAAATATAAATGTCTTCATGTTTTTATTTCATATTAATTTCACATTTGTTCATATTTATTTCATCCATTTTAAGGGAATTATTGTATCTTTAAGAAATTTTATCATTCAGAAAAAAGTTTGTTAATTGGAAACTTATAAACCAACTAGTGTCCATATTTCTTTTTTAGAAAGCAGATAGAAGTCTTGTGGAGGCCAAACTCTCGCAGGGTGAGAGAAGGTTAAATAAGTCACTTACTAAAAAAAGGTTGCTTTTTATGGTGTCTGATGTCTATTAGCTCAAAAGTTTTAGACATATTTTCTTTGCTTGTTCTCTTTAGTGTCATTTAAAGCCCTCAGCTTATTTCCCCATCTCAACGAGTGAGATCTGACATTTCTCCATCCCATTTGTTTTCTTCATCCTCTGCCTCCAGTCTCCATGAACCTTCCACAATCAGTGGCATTTATTAAGATTACTGGAGCTTAGCAGAAAACATTCGTAAAATATGACCGATTTACTTTGGCCATCTCTTGATGTTAATTGTGAGCAGTGTTGGTTTTGCCTATAAAGGGTTGAGTTAAATAAATTTTGAGACGAAAATATTTGTTTAAATTTTGCAAGTAAATTTTAAGTATTTATTTATTATTTAGTATGAAAGAAAGGTTTTTAAATAAAAGACTTTTAAACTGCAATTGTTATATGCTACAGTAGGGAACCGATTATCCGGAATGATCGGCACCATCGCTATTCCAGATAAATGATTTTTTCGGTTTTCTGAATCACTACAAAAAGCCGTTTTTTTTTATTGTTAAAAACCCAACTAAAAAAAATAATATTCGGAAATAATCTTAAAAAGAAGAAAAAGCGATGCAGTAATACACTAATGATTATTTCCAAAATGATGGTAAGGTAAACATCTTTAAAAAAAGAAAGAAAAATCCTAAAATCTTATGAGGATAAAAACATTTTTTTTAAAAAATGGCGTGAAAATTTACTGAATTTCGTTCCGGTTTTCTGATTTCCGGATAACGGGTTCTGTACTGTATTAAATATAACTAGTACTAAGTGAAATTAATAGTTTTGCTTTTATAAATAAGGATTTTTGATTTTCAGGAGACTAGTGCATTTTATAGAATTACGGGAGCATTTAAAAGTTTATTTTCTGATTTTGAAAAAGCAAACCCTAGCCATTCTGTGGATTCACAAACAAACATGTATCCTGCTGATGCTAACTATAATGGTGAAACAATAAGCATATGTTTAATTTAGTTATATTTTCTATATTATGCAAAACACTAGTGTGTGTATATATATATATATATATATGTTACGGACGGGGAGTGTCGATGAAGCTTCAAAGTAGTCTAGGGTTGCGTTTTAAGACTTTTATTATGACAAAAACACTTAAATGGCAATACAAAATAATTAGAGCTGGAACATCTTAATGAGCTCGCTCCCCCTAGCCGTTCAGTGAGAGAATGTAGAGGGAGTCTGCTTAACTACGGGTGGCGCTGCAACATTATATATATATATATATATATAAAATNGTATATATATATATATATATATATATTGTAAAACTGATAAAAAATTTTCTTTTGAGACAAAAAATTTAAATTTGTAATTACAAGCAGGTGAGCAATCATAAGTATGAAAAAGAAACGTCAATATAATCTGATGTTTTTATTTAATAAACAGTTTCAGGGTTCTAGGTTTTTTTTATAAATACCTATTATTTCTAATTACTTAAGAATTTTAAGTCATAACAGCTAAAATATCTAAGAAAACCTATCTATAAAAGCACAAAAAAGACTTAGTGTGACCACCATTTTAAAATGTATGGCCCAAGCAGTAAACTATAAGTTACAAAACTGTAAATTATAGAACTGCGTCAGTATTTATACTTTTCATTGTTTTTTATGTTAGCAACATCTGCGCTGAAGCATGTGCCTTTCAAATTTAAACATAAACTATTTCAATTTATATATGCCATTAATAAAGCATAGGTACCGAATTTGTTGCATATCTTTCTAGATTATGATCCTTGAGTTCATTATTTGATTCAATGTATGTATCTTCAAATTTACAAATTGTATTTGTAAATTTTCAGCCTTATCACTTAATATAGGTAGCCCACTTTGGCACTACTTATGTCGATTGATTTGGCTCAGCTGTTGTAACTTGTATCAAATTTTAAATCAGTTTTTGATTTAATGTTTTTTTAACTTTTTCTTTGGTTTTTATATGCATTATATAATAGATGTGTAGGTTTCAAAGAGCCATATAAAATTTTAAAACTATTATTGACACCAGTATTGAACTCAGCTAATACAACAATCTGAAAGAAACTGCTAAGGCAGTACAAATAGTTAACAAGTACAGATCTAGAATATCTTTTTCTTTACAAACAAAAATTTGTTATTAAAACTTTTTTTTAAATTCTTATTCATTTGATTTTTTGAAAAAGATAAAAGGGGAAGATGTTAATTTCCTCATATATTGCTTAAATGGATTGAACTTTTTTAACTCTTGCCATACCACAATGGTTTAAACCTGGGGTGAGCAACCTTTTTAACCAACGGGCCAATTAAAATTTTTAAATTTTTTTGACAGGCCGCACATAAAGTAACACTTATTAATAATTTACAAAACTTTATTTATAATGAACATTAGAATAAAAAAGTAAAGATTTCTTATACAAATTTTAATGAAAAATAAAAACGAACAAAAAAAGAACAATAAAACAAATTTACTTGAAATTTTTAATGAGAAATTTGGCACTTTTTTTTCGATACAAGCTGATAAATATAAGCCGGAATTGATGAGATAGCTAAACGTACGCAGCTTTCTAATCGTGCATCACTCAGTCTTGATCGGTGGTCATTTTTTATTAATTTTATGGTTGAAAATAATTGTTCTCAAACATACGTACTTCCGAACAGAGACATCATTTGCTTTGCATTTTTCGTCAAAAGCGGAAATTTCTCAGGGCTCACAAACTATTTATAAAAGTTTTCGATGTTTACTGAGAAAAATACATTTTTTAAATCAGTATTATTCTGCATGTCAATTACTTCCATTTGAAAGTCTTCGGGAACTGTACCCACATCGATGTTAAATGGCGGGGAAAACATTTTCATAGAAACTGCTGTCTTCTCAGCTTTGAACATTTGGAATCCTAATTGAAATTCGTTGATTAAATTTTCTATATATTGTGCGTATTTTTGAGAAGTAGTAACGTTTTCTTTTTCTAAATGTGGAAAGTGAAACACGTTATTCTGCAAAAGATGCTGTTTCCACAATTTTAATTCGCGCTCAAAGCCTTGAATTTTATGATACAAATTGTGAATAAACTTTCCTTTGCCTTGAAGTTCCACATTAAGATCATTGACATGCTGAGTCATGTCGATAAGAAACCCAAAATCGCACATCCATTCTTTATTACCAAAATGAGGAAAGGCATATCCACGAACGTATTTCGCTTTTTTAGTTGTATACTCTTTTTAGCATTGCCTCTCTACTAAGCCAACGTACTTCGGTATTAAAAACCACGTAGCCATATTCAGTTTCTAAATCTTTTTGGAATTCTTTAAATTCACGGTGATTTAACAGGCGTGACTTTATAAAATTGATTAGTTTAATTATTGGTACTGTGACATTTGGCAAACTCAATTTTTTCGCACACAAATTTTCCTGGTGAATTCTGCAGTGGTTAACAAATATTTCCCTTCCTGTGACCTTCTTTATGTCTTGAAATAGCCTTCCCGATACTCCTACCTTCATGCTTGACATTGCTCGTGCTCCATCTGTCGATATACCAATAATCTTTCCTAATGAAATTGAAAAATTTTCCAACACAGACTTTAGTTCATCGTACAGGTCTTTGCCGGTTGTAGTCCCTTGCATTGGAATCAGTGAACACAGTTCTTCGGTAATATTAAATTTGGTGTCAATACCACGTAAAAATATAGCCAGTTGTGCTGTATCGCTAATATCGCAACTCTCATCAAGTGCCAAAGAACAGTATTCAAACTTGGCAATGCGTTCACGAAGCGTTGTTGCTATGTTCTCGGACAAGTCTTCAATTCTCCTTGCAATGGTGAATCTTGATAAACTAATGTATGAAATAATATTTATTTTATCTGGAAATGCTATTTCTGCAACAGCAGTCAGACATTATTTTATCATCTCTCCATCCGCAAAGGGTTTAATTTTGTTTGCCAGTATTTGACTGACAACAAAACTAGCCTTTACTGCCGTATTTGATAAAATAGCTTGATTTTTAAAAATAGCCTGTTGGCTTCCCAAGTTTTTCTCCATTTGATTAAACTTATCTATCCGAAGTTGTCCTGTTAAGTTTTTATATTGTTCATGTTTTGTATCGTAATGCCTTTTTATGTTATATTCTTTTAATGTCGACACAGTCTCTGAGCATATTAAGCATACAGCTGTATCTTTGACGAAAGTGAAAAAATAATCCAATTTCCACTTTTCTTGGAAATGCCTGTGCTCATCCACAACCTTCCGTTTTTTTGTTTGCTTTTCCGACATGCTATTATGGATTGCACTAATATTACACTCAAGCCTTTCAAGAAACACAAGAATTGCTAGTTAACAGCTTACCAGTCTGACTGATTGTGTGACAGAAGTGTCGAGTGTCTCGAATGAATCAACAACATAATAACGTGTGTCACTCATGAGGAATTGGACGGCCAACATTTAAAAGCCTTAACACGAGAGAGCTGGAACAAAGTATTGTTTCATATGAACTTTTGGATTATTTTCATGTAGTGGAGTGGAAAATAACTTTAAATTAAATTTACAAAACAAAGAATCAATAATCAAAACAAACTTAGCTACCACTAGAAAAAATTTTCCCAAAATGAGTAAAAAGTTTGCAGCCCTGTAATCAGAATTTTTAGAAGCCATCATTTCACATTGACAACAACATTAGTTATATTTTTTTGCTTATTTTCTTAATGACTGTCCACCGGATTGAACTGTTGAAATTTAAATTCACATTTGAATAGATAACCAATTTACTGCATGAAATGATATTACTTTTTTTGCAGTACTGTTGAGTATAGCAATTTATTTCTTTATTTAGTGGAACTGCGAAATAAGTTCGGAACTTTACATTCAGATGAAAATAAGAGAGTGAGTATTGCTATAAGTTTGATTATCTTTTACTTTTTAAAATAAAGTTGTGTTTTTTTTTTTTTTTTTTGACAAAAATTAGTTTTGTGAAACTTTATTTCATTATGTATCATAGAAAACAGTCTTACGAGCTCAGAATATTAAAAAAATTTTTACTCAGCATTCTGGTAGTTTCAAAATGTGAATAAGTTTCATAATTATCATTTCAATCTTTAGATGAATCTATATATCTTAACTGAAATTGCTTGGTCAATAAGTGCCAACTGTGGCTTGTTAAATGTATTTTTGTAACAATTTAATGCGTATTGTATATTTCTGAATATTAGCTGCAAAGTTATATAAAATTGAAAGAAATGTAAAGTGAAGCAATCTGCTTATAATCAGATGATAACTACTAACCACTTACTTCGAAAAATTCCAGGAGGACAACACCAATAGGATTGCTCCTCCTTTTGTCAGACACCAGCGATAATCAGTAAATATCGCATAACATACATACAAAACATAAAAATACTTCAAAATAATAGTTGAAAAGGGAATGTCTAAATGTAACATTTGAAAGAGAAAAATATGAAAAGGACAAATTGAAAGGAATACTATTATTTTTGAGTATTCTGATTTACCTATCTTTAGGTGAATGCAAATATATTAACAAAAGGAAAAGAACACACAAAAATCCAATGAATTCTATATCGGAATCAGATTCTTCCTAAAGTTTGGTAAGTTCCTGTTCAGTCACATGAAGATCTGGATTTAATACATTGTCCAAACTTCTGATGTCTTCATATTCACTTGTGTCTTCATACACTAATTGAACTTTATATTAATACTGATGTAAAAATTTTTTAAAAGGTCTAATTGCGACATGGGTAGGTCTATGCTTCTTTTAACCTCTGTTCAACTACCGTTACTACACTAGACCTGAGCTTTTATTTTTAATCATAGCATATCTTATTTTGTCACGTCGGCTTATATATAAGTTTTGAATTGTGGGTGAATTTCCGGATATAAAGTGCATTCTTTGACTTGTACATCGCTGGGGTTAGCAGTGATATGCTTATTTTTGTTGACAAAACTCTTCACAAAAATGATTAAAATATTTTAAGAACTTTTATTTTAAATATTTAGTTTTTTTCCATTTAAATTTCAGAAAAAGCCTACTTTTTTATTTTTATAATAAGGATTGGTCTCTTCATTGATGCAACAATTTATTCGCGATCGCAACACTCGAATACGCCATCTGGGGAGAGACCGGTTTCATGCCTTTAGCCCTTCTCCCTTCCCTCTCCTTCTCTTTTCAGTTGTATAGGAATGTACTACGATATTTTCCCCTTTCTTAATATTTTTCCTTTTTATTTAATAAAAATATTTTTTAAAATTTCCATGATACTTTTCTTTAGAACTATGTTTAATGTAGTTTTCAGTTCCATATAGTTTTTCAAGTTAAAAGATTTTAATCTATATGAAAATCAAGAGAGAAACTAACGTACTTCCTTCCTCTATGACTTTCCACACGCTAATGGGGAAAGCATGTGAAGTGTTGTCATAGGAAAAGAGTTCTGCTCTACGCCACCTGCAGCCCATTTCGATCGCCAATAAAGATTTCAACAGTGTCATTTAATTTTAAGAAAACACAATAAAACTTTAAAATTGATTTAAAAAATGTTAAGAGCTTTTTTTGATATTTATGTAGAATAATTTTTGTCGATAAATTGTTTTTAAATGTTATGAAAATACATAACTTTCCTTAGGAAGTTTTTTCCTAATAGTTTAGTTAGTTATTATAATCTCTCTTAAGCAATTTGTATTTCTTGTTTGTAATTGACAGTTGTGTTTGTTTTTTATAGAAAAAAATGGTGTGATTTTCAAACGGTTATACTTCCTTTATTTCTCTATTTTAGGAAAAGGAAGCATTATATGAACAATGTCCTTTTTGTGAGAGTAAAATTCATCAACATTCTTATTCTAAACATTTACTAACTTGTTCTCTGTCTATGAAACAATGTCATCTTTGTAAGCAAGAATTCCCTAAAGAAAGTGAAAGAGATCATTTTACTGTGTGTCCAAAATTAATCAAGATAAGTTCAAAATCTGGTCAAGATGAGTTTTTTTATGGAGGTATAATATTTAAATTTTTTTAGAAAAAGTTTTCTTATGTTTCTGATGTATATGTTTCAAGCTAATTGGAAGATCTGGCTCTTTGCAAAGTTCACTACAATATGTGACAAAGAAATGTTTCTGAAGAGCTGAATTTTCTAATTGACCTACAGCACAGAAATCTAATGTTGTGATCTCTCTTAGTAAGTCTCTAATGTGGTTGAAAAACACATTGAATTGTTTACTAGTGTGGGTTTTTATTTACTCAAACGAAGATATTTCGAAAAATTGGAAAAAAATCAAACTACCCTTAAAATGAAGCATTCTCACAACAGCTAGTTGTGGAAGTAATGATAGTTGGGCTCTATTTCTTGATCAACAACATAATTATGGTCAACATGGCACACTAAACACTCTTACTATCTAGCGAAGTTGATACCTATCTATTTGAAACTGGGTAGGTTTATAGCTGGTAGCCTTATAACGATCAAACTCCAATCTTGCATAAAAACTTATCTCTAAGAAAATGAAGTATAATTTTAAAATCAAAAAGAGGAAGCAATCCATACTTATCACTTTTTGAATGGCTTTACTTCCCTGTGAATTATTGACTTACCAATGAGCTCATGATCAACATTTCTCCAACAACTGTTATTATTTCGAATTGGTTAGTCTTTTGATGTGTTTTGGCCTTTGACTGTCTAATGATAAACTTGCTTCCTCGTGTTCATTTACAATTTTTATTCTTTTGTTTGTACAATAGGCAATGTAAATTAATAAGATTTTGGGAAACATCTTAAAGTAAAAATCCAATTCAGTCACTTCATGGTCAATAGAGAAATTTGTTTCTTCCTTGATATACTTGGCTAGTGGCATACATGGTGTAAAGTTACTTATGGTATTATAAAAAGGATGGCAGATTCTAATTCTGAAGCTCATCATCTTCAAACAAATCATTGTGATTCTGTGGGACAACTTCATCATTGCTCTTCTCTTTGCTGCTTTCCCTTGATTTAAATTCAGCACATTCAGATTAAGAAGTGTCACAAAAAGAAGCAAGTTATCTCAGTTTGTCATCAGAGTAAATTCTCACTTGACTCAATATTGAGAAAACAGAAGGAAAAAAACGGAAAAAAATGAATTTAAAAATATTTAAAGGGGTGCTTTTTGGAATAGAATGATAAATAAATTGGTGTAAGGAGTCAACCGCTGGGCATAATTGCCCATTGCCAATTGTTTGCAAATTAAAAAAAATATTCCATAATGAGAGCATCCATTTTGTAGAAGCTTCCGCAATAAATGGTTTCACCATACAATTTTTTGAAAGTAAGAACCTTGGGATAGTAAATTTTGAATGGACCAATAATTATCAGCTTATTATACCTACTACTTTATTTCTATTGAAGTTGTAGATATTTTTCAATTGTAGTTCTATTATAGACACTCAAGAACCAAAACATTATGACCACCCCTACATTTTGCAATGAACTCTCCTGGATGACGTGGAAGGCACGTGATCAGGTGGAAGTGGTATTTAACTGTTGCTGGAGAGTTTGAAGAATCATTCTTTCACTTACTTCTGTGTGTGATAGGAAAGGCTGCGAATCTAAGCGACTTTGATAGAGGGCAGCCGAAACTGAACGACTCGTGGGTTGTTCGCGATCTACAGTTGTTAGTACTTATGCAAAGTGGATGAATGAAGATGAAACCAGCAGTAGACGACATGATGTTAGACGTCCTCACACTATCAAAAAAAAGGTTGCCGGAGATTGTCTCGCTTGGTGAAGCCACAGCCAGACAGTGGTTCAGCTGACAGCCCAATATAATGCAGGGTCAAGTAGAATAGTATCAGAGCACACTGTTCAGCAAATACTGTTGGGTATACTACACAGAAAACGTCCCACTCGTGTGCCTTTACTGGCCAAGCGTCATCGCTGGCTACGCCTGCGCTGGGATCAGGAAAATCGCTACTGGTCAATGAATCAGTGAGAGAGAGTTGCCGGGTCAGATGAATCACGATTTGTCATTCATCAAGCCGATAGCCGTGTCAGGATGCGTCGTCTTCCAGGTGAACAGTTGCTCCCTCAATGTACAGCAGGTCATTCCCAGGCCGGTGGTGGCGGTATTATACATTGGGGGACGTTCTCTTGGGCGTCTCTGGGACCCATGGTAGAGCAGACCATGAATGCTACAGAGTATCTGAACATCATTGCAGACCAGTTGCACCCTTACATGGCCTCTGTTTTTTCAGCTGGAATTTTCCAACAGGACAGCGCCCCGTGTCACAAGGCTTAAATTCTGTTGGAATGGTTCCAGGAACATGATGCTGAATTTCAGTCCTGGCCGACTAACTCACTGGATCTCAATCTGATGGAACACATTTGGGATGTCATGGAATGGCTGCTCAGAGTTCAAAAACCACTAAGTGGTAATATCTCGGATTTGAGTGACCGTTGCTTAAACATCTGGTACAATCTGTCTCCAGCCACCTACTAAGGACTTGTGGCATCCATGCCAAGGCAGGTTGCAGCTGTGTTGCGGGCTAAAGGTGGGCCAACTCGTAATTAAAAGGTGGTCATAATGTTTTGGCTCTTGAGTGTATTTATATAGCAAAAATAATGTAGATAAATTACTCTGAACGTCTAGCTAAGCAATTTCTATAATGATATAGATTTTTTTATCGGGAAGCTTGAGTCCTGAGAAGAAGCCATAAAATGTGGCAGAATTCTTTACTTATTAATTAATATAAGATTTTTTTACGTAATTTACTTTTTTGTGCTTTTTACTGTCATTTTACTTAGTTATTTTCCCACAACCACCATTATTGTTTCTTTCATTTATTGTAGTTACTTAATATTTATTTTTTGATGATTAATTTTTTAATTCATTTGTTAAAGATACAAGTTTTGAGATAATCTCAGCATAAAATTATATTATCTAAGCACACAAAAACTGATTTTTTTCTCTCTGTAAAATGAGAATAAATATATGTTACTCTTCTAAACTATACCAAAACAATAAAAATTTTTGTTCTGAAATAATTAAAAATTACTTTTGTCTAATACATAAAATTTTCAAGAAAAAAAAAAGCTAATTATATTCCTAGTATTATTATACTGAATTTGTTATAAATATTTCAAGTATTTTGTTAAGATTTGTTGATTGCTTGAAAATTTAGCACTTACAAATTGATTTTAGTGAAAATATTTTTAACTTAATTTATGCATATTGTGTTTTATGTTGTTGCAGGTTTCTCTAAAAGTGATTCTAAAACAAAAGTATGTTGTTATCTGATTTATCTACCTTAATTTTACTAATCTAATTACTATGTCATCTATTTTGTTTTGTATTAATGTATTTTAGTTTTATTTGTAGTTTTGTTTTATTTCCATTTTAAACAGCATGTTTTTCACGCTAAAAACCAGAGATTCGTGCACCTGGAATGTCATAGAAAATCACGGAAATTTATTGATTTCGACCTTCATCAAAAAATTTTGAGGAAAATCATGATTGTCAGTGATAAATGCTAAAAAATCATAGAAACTCCCAGTTCGTTATAGATTTGGGGTATTGGAGCCATTAATTTTGTCGAGCGATTTGAAAATCCAGCATTGCGATTTGTATTGACATGATTTTAATATAGCACATCTTAATATGCATTTTCCTGATTTAAAAATCCCTCATTTCAGTCTGCATTTGTCGGACTTAAAAAATTAAACATCCTGATCCATATTTGTGCCACTTTATAATCACACATCATAATTTGTATTCACGTGATTTAAAAAATACCCATTGCGATCCATATTTGTGCGATTTAAAAATCACACATCGTGTTCTGCATACAAGTGATTCTAAAATCTCTCATCGCGATCCGCATTTCGTAAATTTAAAAAGATCACATATCGTGATCCATACTTGTGCGAATTTATAATGTCACATCGCAATTTGTATTCATGTGATTTTGAAAATACACAGCGCCTTCAATATTATTGTGATCTAAAAATTACATGCTGGGATCCATATCCGTTAGATTTAAATTCACACAACGTGATCCGTATTCTTGTGATTCAAAGATCATTTATCAGGATCTGCATTTGTGTGATTTAATAATCAAACATCATGATCCGTTTTTTATGCGAATTTATAATCACACATTGTGATTTTTATTCATACTACAGTAGAAAACCGATTATCCTGAACGATCGGGACCATCGCTATTCCGGATAACTGATTTTTCCGGTTTTCTGATACGCTACAAAACGACATTTTTTATTGTTTATCAAACCTAACTTAAAAAACATTATTTAGAAATAGTTTTTAAAAGAAGAAAAAACGATAAAGTCGCGCATAATATATAAGTTTAATAAGATATAAAGGGGGGAAAAATAATGAAGTTAAAAATATATACAGAAATTTATACTTTCTTCCTTTTTTTAGAGCGATGGTGGGGAAAATTTATGGAATTTCGGTCCGGTTTTCTGGTTTCCAAATAAGAGGTTCTGTACTGTATTTTAAGAAATACATCCATATTCACTTGATTTAAAAATCCCTTATCAGTATCAGTATCTTTTAAAAATCTTATCATATTCATGTAATTTAAAAATTGCACATCACAATTTGTATTAACGTGATTTAAAAATTACACAGAGTGATCCATATTTGTGCGATTTATAAACCAGGTATCTAGTTCCGCTTTTGTGTGGTTTATGAAATCACATCAAGATTTATATTTGTCGGATTTAAAAAAATTATGTATTGCAATCCGCATTCATGCAGTCTGAAAAATCACACATTGTAATCTATATTTCTGGGATTTAAAATTACACTTCACTGTTTGAATTCGTGTGAATTTAAAATCACATAGTGCAATCCGTATTGTGCATTTGTGCAATTTAAAAATTACAAATCACTAACCACATTCGTGCATTTTAAAAAAATTACACATTGTAATCCGTATTAGTGTGATTTAACTATCACATACCGTGATCCGCATTTGTGCAATTTAAAGAATAAGACAATATGATCAGGTTTTCTGCGTTTTAAATATCTAACATCGCGATTCGTATTTTCACTCATTAAAATATTACACTGAAAATTCATTCTTGTTCTACCTCTTGTACTGAGAGGTTGAAACAATACTTAACTTTTTCTTTATTTCTATTGTGATTTATCTTATTATCTTATGTAAAATTTTACTTTAAGATAACTTACAATTAGAACAAATTAAAAATAAATTATAAAAATCATATGAACTCTTGTGTAAAATTTTACATTAAGATTTTATGCAATTAGAACAAATTGAAAATAAACTTTTAAAATCATATAACCACTTAAGTTCTTCTTTTAATCATATTTTAATAAATAATTCTTAGAATTTTCTTTTTTTCTGTATATACTTTTAATGAAAAGTTACGATAGTTGAAAATTTAACAGAATTAATTTTTTTTATAACAAAATAAAAATATTTTAAATTTTAGTAAATGCAGTAAACGTAAGCATGACAAGCTAATTATATGATAAAAAATAATGTGTAAACAATGTTGCATGAACAGTTGCAATATTTTTATTAAGATAAATACTGATAAAATGGAACTGCACAAAAATTATGAAAAAATGTTTCTATGTATACTTGTGCATAGCATATGCAAATCATACTGTGCAGTGTGGACCATAAAAAAAAGCAATCATTTCCAAAATGAATTTAAAATTTTGATGAGAATGTCATATTGAAAACTTCTTTAGAGACTAGACTTTTTAACGGAGTGAAATTAATTTTGTACTTTGAATTAATTATAGAGGTATGTTGACTTATAAAAAAAAAAGCAAATGCGACTTTAGATTAAAACAAATCACAGATTCCTATTAATGAGTAGATTTTTCCTTACTCTTCTAATTGCATGATGGTTGGATTTCTAAATGCAAACTTTATTTTTTAGTTTGCAATTGATGAAGATAACCAAGAAGCAATAGAGAAAGCTTTGTTACAGGTAAGTTGCTCTTATATTCTATAAGATTTCTTGAAGGGGGAAAACAAGTGTGTCTCTTCCTGTACTAAAGGAGCATAATGAATTTCAATAATAACCTAGTATATTAATGTGTTTTAACTATCATTTAACATTTCTTTTAATTTTAAAAATTATGTAATATTTTTAAGTTTTTTTAAAATTGTTTGATGAACCAGTTTAATGAAAAATTAGTAAATAATTTATTAAATAATTCATTGTAAAAAAAAAAGTTTTCCTAGTTGTTATCATCTGTTGTAACTTTTTAACTCTTTGCTGTTGATAATCTCCATTTGATTGTATAGTTGTATGCAGTTACTTTTCCATGTAACGAATCGGTTTCACTCATCATATTTGTAAGGTGGTCACAGTTCATGATAGTTAATTGCTATAAATGATTATTTTATGACTCTTATTTTACCAATTTTTTCTAAGCTTTCTTATAATTTAATAGAATCACATTTCTTTAAACAAGACGAAATATTGTCTATAATATCTAACAAAGCAAATTTTATTGTTTTTTTTAAAAACCAGAATTGCTTTATAATTAATATAAATCAAAGCAGTTAATCCTATTAAAGGCAGAATTACATAATTCTTAAAAGTCTAAAATATTTACAACATCAAAGCTGAAACATAAACATGATGCAAAACAAAAGTTATGCACAACAGAATTTTTAAGACAGCGGGGGAGGGGGGGGAATCAGAAATATGTTTAACCAGGAAGTATTTTTCTCTCTTTGATCACACCGAGATTTAACGATCACACCGAGATTTAACATTTGGTATATGAGTAATGAAGTTTACAAACAACTTAGGAATAAATTTGAACAATTGATTTTAAAGTCATGGAAAGATATGTGAATTTTAGCTGTCTCAGCAACTGTAAATGAGGTATAATAAAGGAATTGTAAAATACGTTTTTTTTAGTCTTAAAACTTATCATTTTTGTAACTTTTTAAAATTTATAAAAAATCTAGGTTACCTAATAATTTGTCAAATACATTTATTTTTTAAAAATTTGTAGGCTTATAAACTATGTTTCAAAAACTTCTGGATGATTGAAAAGTGACCACATTATTTTTTTACACCTGCTATAAATTATAAAAAATAAAAAAAAAATTAAGAATATATTTCACATATATGTTTATAACATGCAAAAAGTGTGAAAATATTGATGAATTATTTTTATTGCTCCAGGTACTGTCTTCAAGAACATTATTAATATAAACATAATTAAGCTATCATTTTAAGCTGAAATTTAATTTGACAAATTGATGACATTTATAATAATTCATTAATAATTTTCTATGTTTAAATAATGTTTAAATTAATAATAATTTATTCACTTTATATAGGAAAATGAAGCTTTTACTTTTGGATCCTCAAATAAAGAGAAAAATGTTGAGGAAGAGAAATTAAGTTTTAAGTATTCTCCAAATCCCTTTTTAAACAATAAAGATTCCAAATATCATATTCAAAATGATTTAACAGAAAGTGACAATGAAGAGAATGAAAGCTTGGAAGAATTCTGGGAGAGAGCAGATATCAAGCTTGCACAAAGATTAAGACAGTTCACAAAAATAAAGACTGATTAATATTATACATTTTGTATAACTTTTTCTAAATGTTGGCTTTGAATCAAAATGTGTATTTTGATACTTGAAAATAAATTTTTATGCAATTGTTTTTAAATATATTGAATGGTTAATGAATTGTACGCAACTGAATAAATCAGAAAACAATATTTAATAACAGGCAACTACTATGTGGCCATAGATTTTTTAAAAAAATAATAAAATAAGATTTGTTATTTAAGCATGACAACAATTCAAAATTTTCTATATCCAATGGATTCACTGTTTTGTTTTCAAAAGCCGTAGGCTAAACTAATAAAAATTCGAAATATTGAGAGAAAAAATTTCTTTTATAAAAAAAGATTAAGTAAAGTATATTTTTTAAAATCATACTATTCAAAGAACTAATTGGTGATAAAACCATCTATATTTTTACAAAAACAAAGCGAAATATTAAAAGATTTCAGCTTGTCTAATTATTTAAACTGCTTGTTTAGTTAATTTTATTATATTGTTAAAAATATTTTTTGGAATAAGTTAAGAATCTCGACAACTGCAAAAGGTTGTACTTAAATATGGAATTTAATGAAAGTTTTTGTCTTCATTTTTGTAAATCCGAATGATTGTAAATAAAAAGGCAATAAAATCAACGTCAAATTTTAATGGTGATAGAACATTTTGTACATAACATGCAAAACAATTACTAGTAGGTCTTTGACTTTAGGCATCACAACTGATTTTATCCTTTCGTTTTTATGTCAATTTAGCTCATTAACAAATAAAGTGGAATGATAATGATTTATAAATTAACAGACACCGATGTAACATCAAAGTTCAATACTCTTTAGGTTTGGATCAGATATAGAAAACAACTGCATCCTCTCTGGAATCAGCTTTCGAATGTTTTTTTTATTTTGATAGAAAGTAAATAATAAAACGTTTTATATCACCTGAATAAGAACATTTGTATCAGTTATTAATAAAATTTAATTTCTTATACTGAGACTGAATCAAATAGATAAAAATTCTGTAAGTACAAACTTGCTCAGAAAAAATACTTGGCAAAATAAGGGGGGGGGGATGAAATATGAAGATAAATATTAAGGGAAAAAACAAAATGGGAAAACTTTACTTTATAAAAAAAAGTTATGAAGTAAATAAAATATGTATTATTACTTTGCTATAAAAAAAATCTGAGTAATTAAAAACAAAAAATAGAAAAAATAATGGAGTTTAGAATACCATTTTCTCCCTGAATTTATCTTTTCCTCTTTAAGCTTATTCAATATTGATACATTAGGTTTATCAACACAGGCTTTGCTTTGTAATTCTGTTATTCTTCCTATCAAAATTAAATGCATACTTATAAGAATTTAAAAACATTATATTTACTGAACATTTATTTCCTATTAACATCCCACAGCAATCAAATATACAAATTGTAAATAATTTTTAAGTAAACTTCATCGAAAATAAAAATTTTAAAATTCTCCCACCAAATACTACACAACACTTTATAACATGCTTGATTGCTTTGACTAGAAAAGCTTAAGAATATATGCACAGGAAAACTAGCCCTTTGATTTTTAATTTTTTATTAGCAATTGTGAGTGAAAATATTTCATATAGTGAATAATACTATCATTTATAAGTGCGAATGTTTTTATTTAATATCAATTAATTTGTAGCATAATTCTTCTTAGCAACTTTTCCATCTAGCTTATTTAAGTTAAATTATTCAATCATATACATTGCATATCATGACATATATTTAAAGTTCGAAAAAAAAACAAACACACATTTTGAAAATTTTCAACCCTTGTTAGGACTAGGAAAATTAAATTTTAGACAAAAAAGTTTTTAGTCCTTATAATAAATATTTTCCCTTATTATTTAAAGGAATTAATGTTTTGTCTTTTAGATTAGTAAATATGTTTATATACATAGAATGATTAAGTGATAATTAGTCTATCGTTAAGATTAATAATTTCAATATTATGATGAAATGTAGCATGGATAAGAACTTGTTTAGGTTATCATCCTGACACTTGGCCATTTTATTAGTTTCCAAAAAAAGCAAAATGAAAACTTATTATCAATTCAAAAATAAAGATCTGACGCATTTTTTTAAAGAATATTTTGCAATAGTATTAAACTAGAATTTTTTTTTTACAAGAATAAAATGGGCAGACCACATCATTAAGAAGCATGAAGGTTACAACACAAAAAAAAAAATCTTCAATGCCAGTACTAATAAAAAAGGGTAAACAAAATTTAAGATGGTTAGATGCTAAGGAAAAGTTTCATTGGTACTGTAGAACAAAAAGCTGGAGAACGTTCTTGAGAAGCCAGGGCCCACCAGAGTCTCATCAGTCAATGTAGAATTAAACTCTGCATACAATGGGCAATATTCTAACATTCTTTGTTTTATTGCTAAAGCAACTTTACAAGATTATTATGCTGCAATTATATAAAAATTTGAGGTACATAATTTATATTAATATTTTAACATAAAATTACCTTTTTCTCTTTCAAAGTTTTCTAAGAGCCTTTTCCATACATTCTTAATAATGAGCCCCAAGAAATTATATGAGGATGTAGTTGTTGAAAAACAAATCACACTCCGTTATTCTGCTGATTAACAGAATAGATGGTGTAATCAAATTTAAAAATACAAAAGAACCTAAAAATTTATAAAACTGTCATTTTAATTTAATGTATAAAAAAGCATACTGTAAAATTGCCTGGGAAGCACGATTTTGTCATCTCTTTGATTGTAACGCTTATCGTCACTTAATTCAGAATCACAATAAAATATTTCAAATAGATTTATCGTAAATTCCAAAATAATTTATTAGATTGAAAATACTGTGGAAACTTTCATTAGTGTAAAGAACCTTAGCAAATATAAATAAACGCTCTTGATTAAAGTGTCAAGAAATACGTACCAAAAAAGGGTTAATCACTAGTCCATAGTCTAAGTTCGATCTCTTATGTGACCTTTCTAGTATTTAGCAATAGTTTTATCAAACAAAGAGTATAGTATATAAGATCAAAAAAGACAACAGAAACAGGGTAGACTGATTCATAAGAGGTTCGCCAACATTCACAATGAAGATCAGTATGGGTAAGTTCTCTCCATGTCAACTTGTTTATTTATTATTAATTAAAGTATTTTAAATTAATTTGTTATAGATTAAAGTATTATTAATTTAAGTATTAAAAAGAGAAAGTATAATAAGATAAAGTATTTAAATGAATTCAACAATATATAAATAAAATGATCACAGGTTAAAATGATAATTAGTAGTTTGTGTCTTTAAACCTCTGGAACAATATGGTGCGTCCAAAAAAAAAATTTCTTTTTCTCTTTTGTTAGATATAAGGAGTTATTTATTATTTTCGAATGATTTTATATTGCAATAAGACAGACATGTTAATTGTAAAAACTTCAAACTTACCATTGCTTTATGTTTCTCAACTTTAATTACGAATTCCTTTTTCTGGTGTTTAAGATTTTTCATCCTAATACTGATTTCAGTGTCACCCATTTAATAATTTTTGAAATAAAAAGTCTCATTTAAAAATTAGTTTTTATTTTAACAAGCAACCCATTCTTAAAACAATTTGTAGTAATCAGTTAAAAAAAAAAAAGCAATTTAAAATTCATTTTTTAATCTAGACGAAGAAACAGTAACGATTTGAGTTTTAGAAAATGATACACCAAATATCCACTTTGTAAGTTGCAGTGACATAACTGAAAAATGTATTTAATATTTTCAATAATAAATTTTTGTGTAATGAGAAAATTATGTCACAAGTTATGCCCAATTAACGGGTCCTTAACCTTGTGCCGTATTAACGGGTACGCGGGGCTCTTGGCAATTAAAGTTTTTGGGGCCCTTAGATTACATTTTTTTATTTATTCAAATATAAAAGTATTTATATATCTTTTCATTTAAGAAAGCATATTTAAAATAAATAATAATCAATTAAATTTTACTTTATTTTGTTAAATTAGAACTAAAACATACTCATAACATTTTATAATCATAATATATAGATTTGAAATTGATTTTTTTTTCAGAAAAATCGTTGTTTTTCTTTATTTTTAAACATTTATTTTCAAAAAACCCATCTCCATCGCCGGGTCCCTAATCATTGGGGGCCCCAGGCCATGGCCTGGTCTGGCCTAATAGGTAATCCGGCACTGGTCACAACACTAGTAAAGAGAGCACCTATATTACATTCTAATAAACCCTAAGAACATTTTTAAAAACAACACATTTTAAGTATAATAACTAAAAAATGCATTTAAGGAAACTAAAAAATGTAACTTCTTTTCAACATTATAACTCTATAGTAAATGTTCAATAATTTAATGTAAAAAAATTATTAAATTAAAACCTGAAAAGGCCATTTACAGATGATTTAGTTCAGATACAGAATTTGATGAAAAAGAAGTTACATACAGATTTAAATCTGCCGTTACTGATTATCATTTGTTTTATCCTAAGTATTGGGGATTAAAATTATCATGTGCTAAAGATGAAAGTACCAGAAATTTACATATCAATATTTACCTAGATTTATTTTATGTCATAGCTTCTCACAGTAAATCAGATCCTATTTCCTGAAACATATTTTTCCAGTCGAAGTTTTCAAAACTATTGGAGCTGGTGGCTTTGAAGTTTGAAATAACGAAACCGAAACTTAGACTATTGATTGATTGATTGTTCTTGGCAATCTTTTAAAATTTAATTTTATTCCCTTGACTTTAATAAATAAATAAAATTTGATTCTATTTTTCAACTTCTTAACTTAAGCATGAATATGGAAAAGATATATGCTCTTTTACAAAAATGGAGAGGAATTTTGAAAATGATGGTAGTTTAGGTTCAAGCAAATACTAAATATTCAATCTTGTTCCATTTAAGAGCGGAGTGGTTATGAAATGAAACTGAAACTTTTACAATTAAAGCAATTGTAAATTATTTCTAATTTGATGATAACTGTTAATTACTATTGTAACTTGTAGAATTATGTTTTTAACGGTAAATTTAATTTAAATAGTAAACAGCTTCTATGCTTAGAATTCAAACTTGTGCTTTTAGTGATAATTTATTGTAGTAAATTGAAATATACTATTTTAATTGACTGACCATATATCACTGGACTTGAAAATGGAATATCGAGATGAAGATTTTCTTGATGAAGCTAATCGTAAGTTTGATTTTTTCGTTTTGTGTTAAATTAGAACTTTTTTTTCGTATTAGTTAGAAATCTTTAGCTCTGATGGGAGTGAGCTCTCCAAGTTTTTTTCGACCACCGTTGATCTCGCGTTTTAGCTGATTACTCAAACTTTAAAAATCTAGGGAAACAAAGCCCTTGTTTTTTGTGCCTTGTGAGAAAACAAGAAAATTTATCAAAGAACTATAAAAGAATTTTATTCTAAGGAAAACACGAAAGAATTTTTTTTAGTATTTCATAAGTAAGAGATATAGTTATAGATTTAGAGATAAGATTCTTCCAATTTCAGATACTTAACTCAAAGATTTTTATGCAGTGATCAAGCTAGCTCACTTCTTTCTATATTTATAAGCATTAGTGACTTCTGGGCAGTCGCCCAGAAAAGATTTCAGTACCTGCTCCAAAACAATTGTATTACTCAGGGCCCGATTAACCTCTGAAAATAGGGGAAGCATAATAGGATTTTGAGGCCCCCCTAACTTGAGCAAAAGAAACTTTTGATATTTTTCGCCTATAAACAATACATTTTAAAGAGACGAGAACCATGTGAAAACTATTAGAACCTTAGAAAGGAATACAGAGATCCTATGCAATCATGTTGAACCCTTCTTTACGTGCTTTATAGTAGCAAAAACATGTTAACAAAATTTAAATATTTCACTAAATTAAATTATAAAATTTCTTGTTGTTATACGAAAGGTTCTTTGCAAGATTAGTCTCTTATTTTACGCCAATTTGTTTACTAGCGGCAAAACAACACAAAATTCTAATTCAGCATAAATTATTGCTACTGCACCAGAAAAATCATACCAAATAATTTTCAAACATGAAACAAAAATATTTTTTGTACTGATAGATATTTAAAAGTCTTGTGTGTTTAGTTCAACAATAAAAAGCAGAGTAAAATTAAATTGAGCACGCATGATAGAGAAGAAAGATTTTAAAAAAAATAAGAAAACTCATAGGTTACCATTACATAGGCTTTTTTCTCGCTTTCAAATTCGCAAAATCTTCAATAATATCTGCAAATTGTAACCTATTTGTAATATCACTCTCTATTGCTAAAAGGGCTAAACCACTTAATTTATTATTTGAAAGAGTTGATCTCAACCGATTTTTTTTTTCTTTTCAATGCAGAAAATGAACGTTCACTAGTGCAGTGCAAAAATAAGAAATTGGGCCCCTAATTTCAGTCATTTGGGGGCCCCCCTAGAATTTTACAGGGGAAGCACTTGCTTCCTGTGCCTTTTCGGTAATCAGGCCCTGGTATTACTTCCGGGCAGTGACATGAGGAAGATTCTTGTAATGTTACCTACATCAAAACAATCAATAGATCTCTGGGTAAAGCACCACATAAGGTGACCAACTCGAAGGTAATGGCTTAGAAGTTACCTCTGGAATAACTAATAGATTTTTTTTTAATGTCTTTTGCAAGTTAAAAAACCAATCTGTACCTTGTTGATTGTAGTTGGTATAAACAGGTACTGGGGAGATTTCCTTATCATGATCTGTGGCAGAATATTCGCCAAATCTCGGAAACTTCCGGGCAGTGGCCCGCGAGAAACTAAAACGAAAACATCACAGAAAGGGGCCAAATCGAAAGGTATAACTCGTAGCCACCCCCAGGGCGAACAGCTATATATATATTATTTTTTTTTAAATTGCAAGTTTAAAATCTATTTGGCACCTTGGGGATTGTAGTTGGCACGACAAATCATGATATGGAAATATCCCCAAAATTTCTTAATGGTATTGAAAATAAGTATTTATTACAATTCTGAGAAAACTTTCCCTATTGGTACTTGTGCCAAAATGACCAATAAGTTTTGTTATCAGCAGATACATATCACAGAATCTAACTTAAAATGTAAAACTTATAATCTGCTATCATACCAAATATATTTTCTTGAATTTAAATCTCTTGATAAATTTAGTAGTTCTAAATTCATATGGAAATATCCTTTACATTCTTCCTATGTTTTGAACTTTATTTTGAAGTTTTAAATATGCTTGTAATTATTGTTTGTTTGCTAACATACCATTTGCAGTATTTTTAACAATTCTTCTTTTCTTCTACTTCTGTTCATGATTTCTGATAATTACCTCACTCTTTTTACTCTATAAAACTCTTTTCCCCCTCATCTTTATTTTTTCCAATTTAACTGTCATGACCAGGTTTCTTTCTTCTTACCAACCATTGATAGTGTTTTTTAGATAGGTTTATTTGAGGTCGGTAAATTTTGGCCTTTATATAAAAAAAAGTTTTTTTCATTTTTTATTATTGTATTTAAATTACTGCCAACTTTATGTTGTTTGTGTTGAATCTGTATTTTTTGAAAAAAATTACCAGGTAATAAGAAAATCTATGTCAAAATTTTGTATTCTTATAAATTTCAAGTTGAAAATATTGTTCATGGAAGAAGTGAATCATAGAAAATGCATTGCCTCTTTTATTGAATGTCTTCGTTCATCCCTAATTTTGTAGGCCTCACAATCAGTTGACACTTAAGCGAATATTATTTATATATAAAAATAATAAAAAAACAGCTATAGAGATGTAGAAAATATGAATTTTTTGTGCATGCAATTAATTTTTTTCTAGTTACACTGGTTAATCATTTTTAACAGTTTTATTTTTTTTACAGTTATTGAGATTCCTTGTGAATTTTGCAATGATTTGTTTCCTATAATTCTTTTAATGGAACATCAGGTAAGATGTGTATTTTTTCATGAATTATTTCAATTAAAATTTCATGTTATTAATAAATGTTTTATACTTCAATGTCATATCACAATTTGAAGTGATAAATTTCTGCACAATGCTATAATTTTTTAATGAAAATCAGGATAAAATTTAAATTTATAGCATATGAAAAGAAGAAAAAAAAAGTTATAGCATAACACATGCTATTTCTTCATTTTCTTTGAATTTTAACTGGGAAAAGTGTAGTCCTTAAAAAATGAGTGTTACTATTGACAGGGAAAATCGTGAAAAATATCAAGATGTGAATAAAAGATACATATCTTCTAGAATGTAAACATTAATCCTTTCATGGATATAAGTTCTTATTTAAAGTATTTAAACTTTTAAATAACTAAATTATAATAAGAGGAATATAAGGTATGATACTACAGTCGCTTCAGTATTCTAGTGATATCCTTACATCAGAAGCATTGATGTCATAACTGATACATGGTCTTCTAGATTTATTTATAATTTTTATCCTTAAATACAAAGTGTGAAATAAAAATAGTTGTAATTAAAAACATTAAATTTTCAATTTAATTTTTTTAATTAACCTCATAATTTGAAGAATATTATAAATAAAAAGAATTGATTCTGTAGGTGAATCGGCATTATAAAATTATTTTTTATGAACAACCTAATTGTGTTCTCTATATTTACTTTAAAAATAATATGTATTTTAATTATGAATTAAATTCAAATGCTGCAAAAGCATTCAAATAATTTTAATGATATTATTTTCTTTTAAAAAAAACTCAATAGTTTGCTTTTATTTATTATTTTTAATACATTCTTAGAAAAATTATTTATAATGATATCTTAATATCTAAAATTATTACTTTCAATTTGGTTGAGTGATATTTTGCATTTAAAAAGGAAGACTTATTTTTATTTTTAGATGAAGCATATTTATTATTTTAAATAAATTTTTAGATGTAGCATATATATTATTTATTATTTTTAATAAATTCTTAGAAAAATTATTTATAATGATATCTTAATATCTAAAATTATTACATTAAATTTGGTTGAGTGATATTTTGTATTTAAAAAGGAAGACTTATTTTTATTTTTAGATGAAGCATATTTATTAAGGTGAATTTTAAGAATAAACAGTAGTAATAATGCAAGGATTGAAAGATATAATATGACATTGGTGACTGATTTATACGAAACAAGATAAGGGTATTGCTAAATGTTTCGAAAACTGCTAGTAGTTAAAAAAAAAAGTGATAAAAGTACATGATTGCTTACTTAGCAAAAGTAGTGAAATAGATATTAGAAATAATTAAGGTGACTAATAAAGGAGATTTTTCAATAAATTTTAATTATCTCTTGCCATTAAGTGATGTTTACTTTTATAAAATTTTTTCTTTAAAGGGAATGCTATGCTGTACGAGTAATCCTTCTTAGCAAATTCTCTGTCACCTACATAATTAAATAAAAATTCTAAGTTAAGGTACGCCTAGAGTAAATCATAAAGTTTCTAATTTCTGAATTTTTTATTTTTTTCTCTTCAAAACATTGAAACAAAACCAAATTGTGGCCCGATTATGTAGTTTAGATGTAATCCCTCAATAATTTGTTTGCATTTTAAAATTTTGAAAATATTTTTTTTAGCATTTGAAGCTTCATAGTTTATTCTAGATTTACCTGAATTCACTTTTATCTGAACTTAAAATTTTAAAATTCTAATAGAGGTGAAACAAAAATTGCCACTAAATGCTTCTCCTTCAGTATAGCTTCCTCTTAAATCTGAATTGTTTTTCTTTGTTTGTTGTAATCAGGGATGGTAAGTTTCTTACACAGTGGAAAAAACCGTGCCGGGAGATATAGGCAGAGCTTAATTTATCATAAGGTTGAGAGGCTTGTTTTTCTAGAAACAATAGAATGTTAAAAAAAATATAAATTTCTCTGTGTAGTTGTGTTGATAGTATTTTCCTCAAGAATTGTTATTGGAATTATGTGAGAACAAAAATTGAAATGTAAGCTCACATTTACAAATCTATCATCATTTATTTATGTTTTAAGTAATTTAAAACCCCTTTTTTAATAAACAGAAGGTAAATTATGTTTAAAGTTTCAACCAGTGCCTACAAATATTAAAGTTTATGCGTACAGGACCTACATTTTTTAATCAGGACATTGACCTAGGAGGTTTCTTCCAACTCAAGTGGAGGAAACTCTTTTTATTAAAGAGTGTATTAAACTAAAAATTTAAATATTTTATAATTGCAATATAACTTCAATTATAATAATATTTCCAAGTCATTTAATAAATAATTTTTAAGTTAAAATAAAAAGTCAAAATTGGAAAGAAAAACAAATGTAATGAATTTCTTAAGAAATTAATACAGCTGCTGTTTTTTTCAATGTTTTAAATAAAACAGTTTAGATCAAGCTTATTTTTATAATTATATATAAAGAATTTTTAAAATATCGTAATCACTTTATTTTATGTATTATATTACAAATCACACAATGATTTCGTAATTACAAACAGCATACTAATTTTCAAACTTAATACTGTTAAGTATGATTTCTTTAAACAATTCTAAGATAGTATGCTAAAGGTATTTAAATAAATAAATATTTTTAATGCAAATTGTAATTTTACATACCTAATCATAAAAATATAAGCAAATAATAATTTATAAAATATACTTAATTTTTTACTATAGATTATTTATTTTTTTCTTCTTCTAAAATTAAAGAATTTTTATTTTTAAAACAACATTAACTTTAATTTTTTTTTTTAAATAAGCAAATAAGTGATTAAACAACTTTAAAGCTTTTTTAATCTGTCGAAACTTATAACTTTTATTTCAAAAAATAAAATTTGTAAGTTTTCAAATATAAATGTTATAGCTGAATTTTCTTTTTCCTCCTAACATTTTGATAGCTTTGCAATATTTTGCTTAAGATTTACTAATATTATAGTTTTAGGGAGAAAATTTTTTTATATTTTACTGTTAATTAAATCAGAGAAAAAAATAATTAAGTAAAAAAGAAAATTAATATCAAAAATTAATAAAAAATACAATGGCCTTAAAAAAATTTGACCAATTGAAAAAAATATTAGCAAAGTAATGATTTATAAATTGATATTTTATTTATTATTATCTCTAGTGTTATTTATTATTTCTAGTAATATTTTATTGAAAATTCTGTTCTTAAACCGAATATTTAGTAAACTAAAAATAATATAAATGCATGTCGAGATATAAGTATACATATTTATTTAGAAAAATTAGGAGTAACTTAAATCAAAATAAATTGTTTTAATAAGATATCATGATTTTAAAATTCTGTTTAAAATTGAAATAAATGCTATGAATATAGATGTTTAAAAAAATATTTGTGAAAAGTTCTTACATTTTTTTGTATTTTATTAAATTATATTTATTTTAAACCTGAACAATTCATTTATTCACTATTAGTAAATAGTTGTATCGGTGAATTTTGATCAATTTTATATTCTTCCACTTCATCTAGTTTTTTTTCCAGTGCCCTAGAAGAAATTACTTTTCTGGATTGAAATGCCAACCCTGGTTATAATAAATGTATTATATTCTTAATACTATGTCCATCCTAATTTACTTTTGATTTTTTACTATAAATTTTAAAGATGAGATTTATGCACTTGTTACTCATATTTGATATGTTTATAACCTTAATAAACCTTATAAATTTATTTACTGTTTTTAAGACTGCCTGTCGGCCTGATCTAGCACGTATGATTGAGCCAACTGTTGAAGAAGTTGAAACTCAATTTCGGAATTTGGAAAATAACTTGGCATTTGAAAATCCAATAGATGTTGAAAGGATTGATCCCCCCACCTATCGAAATCAGATACAAATTGAAGAAATTCAAACAAGCTCTATTCCAAAAGAAAAGGAACAAATAAATAGAGTACTCATTTCTTAAAATACCTTATTACAGTGAAACCTCCAGAAAAGACCACCTCTATCTACAACAAATTTTGGGAGGAATGGAAATTTTTCCATAGACTTTGTTTTGAAGAAAACCTTTAGAAGAGACCATTAAAACCTCTCCCAACAACATCTGCTTAAAAGGTTAAATAAGGAAACACAAAAAAATATCAAAACGGAAAAATTTCACAAATAAAATAAGTAGAATAAAATATATTCAAAATATTTGTGTGAGGCTTACAACCTCATTTTGCAGTCAAAATGGATTAAAAATGATGCTATTAATAATTTACTTTTAGAGTTGAAAGTTAAGAAAAAAAATTATTTTAGAAAAAACAAGCATCTCAAATAAACAAACCTCTTCTCATCTTTTAAAGCTAATTAATTTTTATTATATAAAATTAAATGCAAACTTAAATAAAAAACTTAATTAGTAAATTTGTTTTTACTCATAATTCTATTAGTTGAGATCATTTTTATAGAGGCTAAATTTTATTAATTGATCCATCTCTTAATGGCACTCACAGAAGTGGCATTTCTGCGGCAAGGAAACGACATTGACTAATATTAAAATCGTTCGTGATAACAATTTTGAAGTCAATGGCCGTAACTTCTAAGAATTATCAACCTCCATCAATGACCATTTTTTTATGGAACAGAGTGTGGCCGTTCCCGAGAGGTTTCACTGTATAATATTAACAAATCACCTTTGTTTTTTATCTTTTTTTTACACAAAAAGTAAATTAATATCAAAGAAAGAACTGATTGATGATAAAATTTATAGAAAAAGTTTTTTCAAATGAAAGGATTATTTCTGTCATATTTTTTATTATGAAATATGTTTGCCTTAGTATGATAATAAGTTTTCATATCATATTTTCCAAACCTTTGTTATTAATCTAATTTCTTTTTATGTTTTCTTTGGATTTAATTTTAAAATAACCTGAAGTTATTTCTAACACTCAATTTGTTTCTTCAAAATAATTTAATTAATTTTAAAATACTAAAAAAGATACAGTACTTTCAAAGTAATATTTTTTCCGTATCAGTAAAATTCACTTTTTTAACCTTGCATGTCTTGATGATACTCTTAATATTACTGTGGGTTTAATTGCATTAAAAAATCAATCGACCCTGGACAGACACTCGCGAGAGAGACTGCCGGCCTCAGCGATAAGAACGTGTTTGCGCTTCCTGTCGCGAAAGGATTAATAGTCTGCAACTTTTCTTATTGCCCATTTTCTTTATTCTTAACTAAAAATTTTTTTAATTTACATGTTTAATATTTGCTACAGAAATATAAATTTTAAGTACAGGTTGTACTAAGTATTTTTAAACTGAGTATGCCAATATGAATCGAGGCATATCTTGGATGTGAGTTTCCTACCTCAAAATTTTAATCAAGGGTAAAAATACTCATATAAAATTTTTAATTTTTTCCCTGCTTGTTAAAGCAAGATAATCACATCAAAAATCAAGCAGTGAGTAATATATTTTTGATTGTCGATATAGGGCAATAGCATCCCTTCCATGCATTCTGAATTCAATTAATTAATTGCTATTGCTCTAACACTGCTTGTAAAAAAGGTTTTGCAACGTAAAATAAAATATCTAAAAAATGAGCTGGTCTTAGTAAGGAGCACTTTTAAGGTCTTTCCAGCAACATTGCTTTTAGCAAAGAATATAGAGAGGACAAGTCCAACTTGTCATATATGTAACTAACGTGGGGATTTTATTTTTTTGCCTTTGTTTAGCAATAAAAACCCATTGATTGTATTTTTGATCAGCAGTACAACTTGGCAAAAGGCCGAAGTAAATCAGGCACTAATAGCTAGCATGTTTCATTTTTTCTGATCTTTTGCTGTTTTATAAGAAGAAATGAATGGTGAAAGAAAATCTAATTTTAAAAAAAAATCTTTCATCTTATTACTATCTGTTTCCTTTTCAATTGTTGTCTTTTATTTTCAACCGCTATATTTATATATTTTACATTAACGCTCGACCAATGGATCCAATTAAAAGCTACTCCCAGTTTAGCTTTCAAAACTTCTTGACCTATATCTGCTTTCTAATTTTCTTTATTTTATAGCTAAAAATAGTTTCATTTGCTTTATCAATATAAACTTTATCTTAAGGACCATTCAAATATTATGTAAGCATTTAAAAGGGGTGATTTGCTTATTTGTGATGACCAAGTTTAAAAGGTTATAAGTAATATTTAAGTAAGACACTAAATTCCTTATAAAGTTTAAAAGAAAAGAAAAAATCCCTCTCAAGCCAGTTCAATTAGAAAGGAGGAGTACTTTTTTATTCTGATTCAATCTATATATTCGTCTAGAAGAGTATTGGAATTCAATGTGCATTTTTCCTTGACTTTATTCCTTTTTTTTAAAATTTAATTAAAGGTTCTTGTTTGTGTCATTGCACTTAGCCAAGTTTGGTTACAGCTTCGTAGACATGTGTACTCTTCTATTTGTCAGTCTTGTTCCTATCTTGGTTTTAATAGCTGCTGGTGTTGTTTTATAGTTGGTGTTTATTAAATGCTACAGAATATTTATTTGCTAAAATGAAAGTTTGTTGACTGTTCTTTCTAATATTTCTGATACACAACTTACGTTTCAGTTGTGAATTTTTTGGTTTTGCTGATAATAAAAGGTCAATGGGAATGAATCTAAAATAAAGAAAAGTGTATTTACACAATTTTTAAACAGCCTAATTCATGGTTTGTATTTGTGAAAGTCTCCTTTCAAATTAGTACTTTTCTGTTTTGTCATACTTCATTATCTTCTGCACTTGCAGTCTTTTGTGCTTTTTAGTCTTACATTTTCTCATAAGTTCAGTATTGATTAAAGAAGTAAATTGAGGTCGAAAAATTCCTTTGTTAATTGTTTGTAAAATGACTTTTTCAATTAAATTATTTGAGAAATGATATTAAAAATAAATAGCAATTAGATAAACTTACACCATTGTCTTTTCTTCAGATTTCTGAATCTGAAAGGGAAGTTTATGGCCCCAAAAGTTACTTGGATAAATCATCAATGTATACTGCTGTGATTTTTAAAATCATTTACATGCTTGGAACTAGTATTCTAGGAGTTGTGTGGTTCATTTTAAAGATAATTTTTAAACTTCTTAGACTTTGGTGGAATTCTAAATCTGAAGGAATTGATAAGGTACATAGTTAAATTGAGTTAATTATTTAGTTACAAAACATGTAATTTATAGCTTTTTTTCTTCTTCATTTTCCTTTTCTTTTCTATTATAAAAAATTTTTTGAACTATTAAACTGTTGTATAGTTTATGCTTTTGTTGCTAGTTTTTAAATAATTCAAATTAATAGTAACTCTTCTAGAAAATTCTAAAATTTAAACCTTCGCTAAAATAAAGTTGTAAGTTTCATAAACTCAAAAATAGTAATTGTATAAATTCAAAAATAGTAATTGTATAAATAAACTAATTTATCTTATCTTTATTTATTTATTTTTGTTCACCATGCATTTCTATACTTAATTATTCATCTCGTAATGCTTAGTTACATTATGTGAGAGTTGAGAATTTTAACTGGCACTTTTTCAAAAAAAATTTTTTTAAATATACCCAAGAAACTAATTTTCACAGGAAATCATGCATAATAAAATGTAATTTGGCATTTTATGCTCTACATAAAGAAAACAGTGTAATTAACTTTTTTTTTTAAACATAATACTCCATTACTAAAAAGGTTGCTGTTTGTCAACCTTTATATGCAATTTTTTTAATGCTGAAAAATTCATTCTTTTGTTCTATTTCTTGTACTGAGAGGTTGAAACAATACTCAACTTTTTCTTTATCATTCTATAATTATGATTTGTCTTGTGTAAAATTTTACTTTAAAATAACATACAATTAGAACAAATTAAAATAAATTATAAAAATATCATATGAACTCTTGTGTAAAATTTTACATTAAGATTTTATGCAATTAGAACAAATTAAAAATAAACTTTTAAAATCATATAACCACTCAAGTACTTGTTTTACTCATATTTTGATAATTTTCATTGAATTATCTTTTTTATGTGTATACTTTTAATGAAAAGTTACGATAGTAGAAAATTTAACAGATTTAATTTTTTACAACAAAATGAAAATATTTTAGTAAATGCAGTAAACATAAACATGACAAGCTAATTTTATGATTAATAAATAATGTGTAAACAATGTTGCTTGAACAGTTGAAATGTTTTTATTGAGATAAATACTAATAAAATGGAACCACACAAAAATTATGTATCTATGTAAATTATGTATCTATTAAAATGTATCTATGTATACTAATATATAGGCAAATCGTAGTCTGTAGTGTGGACCATAAAAAAAGCAATCATTTCCCAAATGAATTTAAAGTTTCGATGAGAATGTCATATTGATATAGAAAAACTTCTTTAGAGACTAGACTTTTTAACAGAATGAAATTAATTTTGTGCCTTAAATTAATCATAGAGATTTGTTGACTTATATAAAAAAAAAAAAAAAAAAGCAAATGTGAGTTTAGATTTTAAAAAAATCACAGACTTCTATTAATGAGTAGATTTTTCCTTACTCTTCTAATTGTATGATTGTTGGGTTTCTAAATTCAAACTTTATTTTTTAGTTTGCAATTGATGAAGATAACCAAGAAGCAATAGAGAAAGCTTTGTTACAAGTAAGTTGCTCTTATATTCTATAAGATTTCTTGAAGGGGGGAAACAAGTGTGTCTCTGCCTGTACTAAAGGAGCATAACAAATTTCAATAATTTATTAGTATATTAACAAATTAATAAGTTTTAACTATCATTTAACCTTTCTTTTAATTTTAAAAATGATGTAAATATTACTTAAGTTTTTTTTTTTTAAATTTACTTATTTTAAGACCAGTTAAATAAAAAATTTGTAAATAATTTATTAAATAATTCATTGTAAAAAATAAAAAGTTTTACTGGCTCTATCATCTGTTGGTAAAACATTTTAACTCTTTACTGTTGATAATCTCCATTTGATTGTATAGTTGTATGCAGTTACTTTCCCACATAACGAATCGGTTTCACTCATCATTTTTGTAAGCTGGTTACAGTTCATGATAGTTAAATTATTAAGCAATAAATGATTATTTTAAGACTGTTACAAAACTTTTTCTGAGCTTTCTTTGAAATAATTTGAATGACATTTCTTGAAACAAGACGAAATATTTACAGTAATATCTAACAAAGCAAGTTTTATTGTTTTTTTTAAAAACCAGAATTGCTTTATAATTAATATAAACCAAAGCAGTTAAATCTATTAAAGGCAGAATATGATCCTCTTAAAAGTCTAAAATATTTACAACATCAAAGCTGAAACATAAACATGATGAAAAACAAAAGAAATGCTCAACAGAATTTTCAGGAGAGCAGGGGAAAATCAGAAATATGTTCAAACAGGAAGTATTTATTATTAATTTTTTTTTTATCACACCACAATTTAACATTTGGAATATGAGTTAATACAGTTAGGAACAAATTAGAACAATTGTTTTTAAAGTCATGGAAAGACATATGAATTTTAACAGTTGTTGAACTGTAAAATACAATTTTTTAATCTTAAAACTTATCATTTTTGTAACTTTCTAGAATTTATAAAAAATCTAGGTTACCTAATAGTTTGTCTCATACATTTATTTTTTAAAAATTTGTAGGCTTATAAACTGTGTTTCAGAAACTTCTGGATGATCTAGAAGTGACCACATTATTTTTTTACACATGCTCAAAATTTTCACCTGCTATAAATTATAAAAAATTAAGAATATATTTCACATATATGTTTATAACATGCAAAAAATGTGAAAATATTGATGAATTATTTTATTGCCCCAGGAACTGTCTTTAAGAACATTATTAATATATAAACATAATTAAACTATCTTATTAGAATCATTTTTAGCTGAAATTTAATTTGACAAACTGATTAAATTTATTAGAATTCATTATTAATTTTCTACATTTAAATAATGTTTCAATTAATAATAATTTATTTACTTCTTACAGGAAAATGAAGCTTTTAGTTTTGGATCTTCAAATAAAGAGAAAAATGTTGATGAAGAGAAATTAAGTTTTAAGTATCCTCCAAATTCCTTTTTAAACAATAAAGATTCTAAATATCATATTCAAAATGATTTAACAGAAAGTGACAATGAAGAGAATGAAAGCTTGGAAGAATTCTGGAAGAGAGCAGACATCAAGCTTGTACAAAGATTAAGAATGTTACAAAAGAATTCACCACATTATTAATAATAATGAATCACAAAAATGAAAAGTGATCAGCATTATACATTTTATTTAACTTCTAAATGTTGGCTTTGAATCAAAATGTGTATTTTGTTACTTGAAAATAAATTTTTATGCAATTGTTTTTAAATATATTGAATTGTTAATGAATTGTAGGTAACTGAATAAATCAGAAAACAATATTTAATAACAAGCAACTACTATATCAGGGATGGGCAAACTTTTTGGGTCGTGGGCCAAAAATCTAGAAAAAAAAGTTTGGTGGGCCGAGTAAAAACTTCTAAAATAAAATAAAGTCACTTCATCATTGAGTGCATGTCACTGTACATCAACTTTGCGTTTTTTAGTTGCCATTTTGGGATAAAAAATGTTTACAAATAACTCAAAAAGGTAGTAGCCATTTTATACATTTAATAATTTCACCATTATTTACAATGACGTTGTATGTGTGCAACCTTTCCATACGCAGTAAATTATGTTAGAACTAGAGCCGGCAGAAAAATCGGTTCGTTGGAACTTAAAACGCGTAGTCAGCCTCATGTGAAGTACAATTCACCTATATTAGATTCCATATGTCTGCTCCTCGAGAAAGACAAATACTAGTTGGAGGTAATCTACAGCTATTCTATAAAGAACTTTTGCTTTCAACATTTTACCAGTTAAAGCTGTTTGTGCTAACTATTTTGATTAATTTATGTTTTGTAGAACAAAAATAGAGAAAGTGAAAAGGTCATCAGTACTTTGTAAAAAAAGAAATCAACAAAAATAGTTTTAAACTAAGTAGATATATTCGCCACTGATCGGCTAGTTAAAATTCTGTCCGCGGGCCGGATAAAATCTTCCGGCGGGCCACAGTTGGCCCACGGGCCGTAGTTTCCCCATCCCTGTACTATATGGCCATAGATTTTTTTTTCGAATGCAATAAGATTTGTCATTTAAGCATGACTACAATTCAAAACTTTCTGTATGCGATGAATACTCAATAATACACACTGTTTTACTTTCAAAAGGTGTAGGCTAAACTAATGAAAATTCGAAATATTGAAAAAATTTTCTATTATAAAAAAAGATAAAGATTATATTTTTTAAAACATACTCATTCAAAGAACAAACTAGTGGTAAAACCATCTATATTTTAACAAAAGCAAAGCGAAATATAGAATTTGACTTGTTTAATTAGTTAAACTGCTTGTTTAGTTAATTTTATATTATAAATACTTTTTGGAATAACTTAAGAATCTGGACAACTGAAAAAGGTTGTACTTAATAATGGGATTCAATGAAGGTTTTCATACTTGATTTTTGTAAACCCGAATGAAAGTAAATAAAAAGGCAAAAAAATCAACGTCAAATTTTATTGATGATAGAACATTTTGTACGTAGCATGCAAAACAATTTGTAGGTCTTTGACTTTAGGCATCACAACTGATTTTATCCTTTCTTTCTTATGTCAATTAAACTCATTAACAAATAAATTGGAATGATAATGATTTAATAAATTAACATAGACACCAATGTAACATCAAAGTTCAATACTCTTAAGGTTTGAATCAGATATAGAAAACAACTGCATCCTCTCTGGAATCAGCTTTCCAATGGGTTTTTTGGATTTCTATAGAAAGTACATAATAAAACGTTTTATATCACTTGAATAATAACATTTGCATCAGTTATTAATAAAATTTAATTTCTTATACTGAGACTGAATCAAATAGATGTCACAATTTAAAAAAATTCTGTAAGTACAAACTTGCTCAGAAAAAATAAGGATGCAAAAAATGAAATATGAAAATAAAAGATAAATATTAAAGAAAAAAGCAAATGGGAGAACTTTACATAATAAAAAAAAAGTCATGAAGAAAATAATATATTTATTATTGTTTTGTTATTAAAAAATTATGAGTAATTAAAAAGTAGGAATAGAAAAAATAATTGAATTTAGAATACCATTTTCTCCCTGTATTTCATCATTTCCTCTTTAAGCTTATTCAATATTGATACATTAGGTTTATTAACACAGGCTTTGCTTTGTAATTCTGTTATTCTTTGTTCTTCTTCCTATTAAAATTAAATACATACTTATATAAGAATTTAAAAACATAATTTTCACTGAACATTTATTTCCTATTAACATCTCACAGCAATCAAATATACAAATTGTAAATAATTTTTATCAATTTTAAGTAAACTTGATCGAAAATAAAATTTTCAAAATTCTCACACCGACTACTACACAACACTTTATAACATGTTTAATTGGTTCGGTAAGAAAAGCCTAAGAATGTAATTTTATGCACAGGAAAACTAGTCCTTAGACTTTTTTTTTTTTTTTACGATTGTGAATGAAAATATTTTATACGGTGAATAATACTATCATTTATAAGTACGAATCTTTTTATTTAATATCAATTTGTAGCAAAATTTTTTAAGCAACTTTTCCATCTAGCTTATTTAAGTTAAACTATTCAATTGGTATACATTGCATTTCATGACATATATTTGATAGAAGAAAAAAAATCACATTTTGAAAATTTTCAACCCTTGTTAGAAAATTAAATTTTAGTCCAAAAAGTTTTTAGTCATTATAATAAATATTTTCCTTTATTATTTAATGGAATTAATGTTTTGTCTTTTAGATTAGTAAATTTGTTTATATATATATAATGATTTAGTGATAATTAGTCCATCATAAGATTAATAATTTCAATATTATGATGAGATGTAGCATGGATAAGAACTTGTTTAGGTTATCATCCTGACACTTGGCTATTTAATTAGTTTCCAAAAGTAAAATGAAAACTTATTATCAATTTTAAAAATAAAGATCTGGCACATTTTTTTAAAGAAATTTTTGAAATAATATTAAACTTAAATTTTATTTTTACAAGCATAATATGGGCAGACCACATCATTAAGATGCATGAAAGTTACAAAAAAAAAGGGTAAACAAAATTTAAGATGGTTAGATGCTAAGGAAAAGTTTTATTGGTACTCTAGAACAAAAAGCTGGAGAAGTTCTTAAGATGCCAGGTTAGGGCCCCAAGTCTCTTCAGCCAATGTAGAATTAAACTCGGCATACAATAGGGCAATATTTTAACATTCTTTGTTTCATTGTTAAAGCAACTTTCGAAGATAATTATGTTGCAATTATATAAAAATTTGAGGTATATAATTTATATTAATATTTTAACATAATATTACCTTTTTCTCTTTCAACGTTTTACAAGAGCCTTTTCCATACATTCTTAATAATGAGCCCCAAGAAATTATATGAGGATGTAGTTGCTGAAAAACAAATCACAGTCGGAATTTATTAACAGAATAGATGGTGTAATCAAATTTAAAAATACAAGAGAACCTAAAAATTTATGTCTCATTTTAATTTAATATATAAAAAAGCATACCTGTAAAATTGCTTGGGAAGCACGATGTTTGCCATCCCTTTTATTTTTACACACAACCTAAAAATACATATAAATAAAATTCAGAAAAGGAATCGCTCATAGTTGAGTTAATGCCATTTTTTAATACCTGAAAATTATGTTAAAAGATATGAAAAGTATGTTCTAAAAAATTACTATGTAATGACAATTTACCAAAATGAAATTATTATTATCTTACATAACAATAAAATGATCATAATAACATAAGAAAATACAAATATGAATGAATTCTAAATGTTTAATAATTATCAAAATCATTATAGGTAATTATTCTTATGCAGTCAGTTTCCTCTAAAAAGGAGTACTTCGTAAATTTTCTTAAAATTCAATATTATTAATCATTCCTCTGCAGCCAATTTCCTTTAAGAAGGAATATTCGGTACTTTATACTAACTTCTAGACTATAACTGAATTGGATGCTTTCCAATAACATTCTAAGCCGGTTTTTGCTTAATGTCAAAAATGCTAAATCTCTAGAATTTTTTCAATAACTTTAATTTTTGAACTTGGTACAGTGTGTAAATTCAAAAATCTTTTGAATTATGACTATCTGTGCGAGGTCACTTGGAAATTTCTTCATAGAAAGAGAAAAACTCATTTGGTTTAAACTGTAAAAACTTTTTTGATTTTTGCAATTTTCTTGTCATTTATGGCAATTTTCCCAAAAAATGCTTTCTTAACTTCCTAAAAATATTCTACCATTCTTTTAAAATCGCGTGTTTGTTAAAATGGCAAAATAAAATTTTGAGCAAAAATAAAGAAAGAAATCAAGCATATCAGAACCCAACTACTACGAACACTGGTGTATGCCAGAAATTATGGTGCTTTTGTTATTTTAACACTCAAAATTTCAAATAAGATGGACATGTTTATTGTAAAAACTTCAAACTTACCGTTGCTTTATGTTTCCCAACTTTCATTATGAATTCATTTTTCTGGTGTTTAAGATTTTTCATCCTTATACTGATTTCAGTGTCACCCATTCCATAATTTCTGAAATAAAAAAGTCTAATTTAAAAATCAGTTTTCATTTTAGCAGGAAACCTATTCTTTAAACAATTTGTAGTAACCAGTATTAAAAAAACAAAGCAATTTAAATTTCATTTTTTAATCTGGACAAAGAAACATAAACGATTTGAGTTAAAGAAAATGATACACCAAAAACCCATTCTGTAAATCGCAGTGACATAATTCGAAAAACGTATTCAATTTTTTCAATAATAAATCTTTGTGTAATGAATTTTTATTTTTTGCAATACAATTTTAATCACATGAAAACTATGTCACAACACAAGTAAAGAGAGCACCAATATTACATTCTAATAAATCATAGGAACATTTTTAAAAATTTGAACAACACATTTTAAGTGGTGCTAATCCTTAAAATAAGCAAAAAATTAAAAAAAAAAAAAAAAAGAATGCCTTAAGAGTTGTAATCAGAATTTTTATTTCATGATAAAAATTTTTAAGTGCTTGTGCATAATACATGCCTTGTATTATGCTTACGTTATAATTAACAATAAAAGATATTCCAAGGAGTGTTACATATTTATTTAATATTTACATTCTAAAGATCTTTAAAACTTAAAATGCAAGACACCCACATACTCTTTTTAAATTTCATTTGGAAATTAATAAAAAATAGTAAGAATTATTATTATTCGAACTTGGGGATTCTAAACTGGGTTACTTCACTGGAGGGGCAAACTCCTTATCTCCAGAGCAACTGCAGATCTATGTGAAAAATTTAAAAAAATAATGATTTATAGTTTGCTCATTAATTAATTTGGTTGATTAGGAAGGAGTTTAACCCTAGATCAACTTTCTTGCTATGGCCTTTAATGAGAGAAGAAATGTTATAAGAAAAAACTAAATAAAATTTAATGAACAAGCATGGGTATCAAGATACATTTGACTTTGGGTAATGTTAATTATTTATAATGAAAATTTATACATAAAAAAGTTAAATAATTAAAATGTAAAGAAAATTATTTTGAAGTACCTTTTTAAACACTCTAATAGTATTTGATATGGAAAAGGTTGACCAGCTTTTACTGAAAGATCACTTATTCTAGGATCTTCTACTCTAACTTGATCAAAAAACTGGAAAAGGAGAATATTTATGAGAAAGTAAAGATAAAATTAAATTCACAAATACAAAGCTTTATAATTTCTGATATACAGAAAAAAAACAATTATTTGTCTTTAGCTAATTTTTTTAAACATATGTGTTTTAAAATGAAATTTTTAAAAAAATGTAAAATTACTTTCTATGGAAGAATGGAACCAGAATTTATTTAAATATACAATTTAATACAATTGTAAAACAATATATGTCCATGAAAGTACAATTACGAATAATAAAGGTAAACTGAGTAAGTTATAAGTTAGAAATAATGCAGATATAAAAGGAAAAGGGGAACAATGTGTTTCTTTCCTTTTTTCCATTCTCATTATTTCAAAACATCCTTGATCAAATTCAATGTAAAAATTAAAAAAACAAAATTTTTAATTTAAAAGTAGAGAAATTAAAGAAACTAGTGGCAAATATTTTACACCTTTCCACTGATTTTGTGACACCATAGATTATTAATACATAATAGGCCAGATTAACCTCTTTTAACATGTTGTCTTGAGTTGTTTCCAGTGTTCAAAACTAGCACAGTCGAGATAATTAGAGCAGGGTTGTATTTTACACTGCTGAAATTTAATTGATTGATTTTATTTGCCACAACAAGGTTAAAAAATGTGTGTGTTTTTTTTAAACCATTTATTTTGCCGGATACTTATTTTTTTAAATGTGAGCTTTAAGAGGTAATAGGCATATAAGTAACGACTATTTTTAAGGTTAATGATAAAAAGCATTAAAAAATAGATTAAAAATAAATATAGCTTTTAAAAATTAATCAATTTTGTGTAATTAAGTCAATTTATTATTCCTTCATGAGGACCTAAGTTGCTAATTTTCTACCTAATCCTTTTCAGTAACCTTATATCATTACATATAGACTTGATTAGATTACTAAATGAAATTAGCACTTATAATGGAAAGTTATTTTCGATAATCTAATAAATGAAAAAACAAAAGCAAATCTTCTCTGAGAAGATAAAAGAGAATTAGAATGTTTAAAAATAAGTGAAGCTTACTTCAACATCTTGAAAATCATCTTCATCACCACTCCGTTTCTCGGGATCAAATTTTTTTATTTTAGGAATGAGAACTTCAAGTGCAGATCTTGCTAAAATCAGAAACATTATTTAAAGAACAAATTCATTTTTAAATTTAATATCTTAATTGAAATAAAATTAAATATACCAGCTTCAGACTTAGCAACTTTTTTACTGCTGCCATATCCAGTTCCATATTCCATTTCATTTATAATTACAACTGCACCATATGGAGTACTAGCACTCTCTGGAAAAAAAAAGTTAGACTTGATAAATATAGTGTATTTAATTTAGCAACATTTAACAGTGTGTTTATTAAACAGAAAGACAGAATATAACAAATACAAAATGCTTTTAATTTAGTTAAAGTACATGAATGTAACAATATCTTATCGATTCAACTTAAATTTTTGTTTCAACCCTGGAATAGGATCTCAATTTTCAAAAACTTTATTACTATGATTTCCTCCCTCATTTTTTTTACCTTTTTTTTACAAATGTAACTATTGTAGATCCAAACACTGACTTTTAGAACTGTGACTTATATTTTGTATATATTTAGAACTTTATTTTAAAAAAATAACTCAATACTCCCAAAGCTAATTTAAAATAGATACGTGGGCAATTAGGGGGTGTAGAAAGATCAGAATGCAACACAATCTGAAAAGAACAACAAAATCAGTTCCAGGATTGACAAATATAACAAGCAGGTGGCCTCCTAATGTGCCCAAAATTCTTTCATTCATTACAATCTCTCATAATTTCTAATAAAACCAATTAATTTTTGATTAACAAACGACACACAGGAAAAATTACAATAGAACAGGATAAAATAAATTATTATTAGAAATTTAAAATACCTAGTTCTTTGAAAATGTATTTAGGCTGAACTCTCAGAGTATGTTGAACATATTCATGAAGAATGCAAACTGGTGACTTTCCGGTTGGATTCATAATGAATTCTGCAAAATAAATCACTCATTTGTAATAAATCTGCTTTTAACATGTTGCAAAAATATATTATTTTTAATAAATTTAACAGCAAATAAAAATATAAATATTTAAAACCAATGTAAAATTAAAAAAAAGATGAGAATCCACCTTGATGATAGTAAAACCTTGACATTAAGAGGCTTTAGGGATATCTAAATTCCAGGATATTGAAAAATGTATAATTTTTGACATTTTAGACAAAATAATGACTGTGTTGGCATTTTGAAATACTTATAGCTAATACTTTATAAAATAGTTAACTGAAACAATCTCACTATCTAAGCACCTTCATTTGAATTTACATTTTTTTAAACATCATAGTTTTGTTACCTTCCTTTGATGCTGTAACTTCTTTCTAATCACCACAAACTGTAATATAATTTTCCACAGAACTTATCTCCTCATAAAATACAAGTCAGTTAATGCATCAACTGTTTTAAAATTTATTAAATTAATTTATTTAAAATATTTGATGAAATCAAGGGCCACTAAGAATAAGAGTCCTGTTATAAGAATAGTAGACAAGGACTGAAATCAGATTTTTTTTTCCTCGCAATAATTCGAGAACAAATTTATAATTTTTTAAACAGTGTTTGTGGAACTTTTGTCTTGCTGACTTCCAACCCACACATTAATTATTGATAATTGACTTAAAGCATATTATACATAAAAACAATATAATTTGTTAATAGAATTATTTCATATGCATGGACTGACCTCTCTTTGAAGTACTACCAATAGTTGTAGATTTGTCTGTATTTGCAGGTAAAGGACAAGTAATTAGCTGTGTATTATCTGGCTATAATAAAGGGAAAAAAATTGTAAAAAAAAAAACTAACAAGATTATTAACATTTAATTATACATTAAGTATTTGTTATAAGAATGAATAAAATATATACCAAAAATGGGCGTTGTTTTCTCTTAATTTGTTTCTGGTGTTTTCGTCTTCCAAACCAGGTTCTAAAATTAAAAAAAAATAATAATAATAATAAAAACAAACAGGGAAGTTGCTATGGTTAAAATAAATAATTAAAAAATTAATAAAAATTAATTACAAATTGGGAACATTTTAAAAAATATATTAAAAAAGATTATACTCTCTATACTAATAAGTATAGATATTAATCTTACATCAGCTTCAAAACCTATTCATGGAAACATTCAATCAGGGTTAGTAAAAATCCAATGTGGGGTTTTTTCATGAAAAAAAACCTATTTTGCACAGGGATGAACGTTTCTTTTTCTTCAGAAATATTCAAAATGCTTATTGTTAAGGATGAGTATTTCAGTCTTTTTTTCTGCCTGATAAATGCATGTATAATGAATTGCCAATTGATGAAATTACAGAAATGACTTTACAAAATGTAGAGCACAATATCTAAATCAGTGAGTTTTAAATTGTTAATAAATATATAAGTTAAAAAAGGGTATTTCTGGAAGCATTGGGAAATTATATATTCAGGAAATGCAAATGTCTATATCAATATTCAACTGTATTATTCAATAATTGAATTATTTATGTCTTATAACATACGAAAAAGTTTCAACTTTTATCTTCATTATAATATTTTGCTTTCAATTGAATGAAAAAAGATAATAAAATTTAAACTTTTATTCTATACACATTGTAAGAATACAATTTTAAAATTTTAATGGATAAACAAAAATGCACAGCACACACACACAAAAAAAAACTTTTGATATAATGATTAGATTTACATGTTGTAGGATTTACTTTAAATGATTGGAGGGGGTGATCGTAAATATGTTAATTAAAGCAGACGATATTTTAAGACACAAAAATGTTCTTTCTTTATATAACCTTCTTTCAACGAAGTTGGATTCCCAACCCTCATAACATAGGGGGTAGTTGCAATCTGAGAAAGAGGGTTTCAATAGTTTTGTCACGAAACAGTAAAAAATTTGGACTCCTAAATATTAATTTTATTTTTTGCATATTTTGCCATTTCTTGGGAATTTATTAAGCCAATCAAAAAATTTCAGCACATATTTATAAAATTCGTTTATCCAAAGATAATTGCATAGAAAAAATAATTTTTATTAATTATTTCTATTTTTTAATACTTTTTTTGAATTTTAGTCTGAAAAATTTTAAATACACAAAATTTTTACATTATTTTAAAGAATATAATTTTGTAAGGCAAAATACAAAATTTGAACAAAATTGATGAAATAATTACTATAGGAATCGAATTTTAAAGTACTTGTATGTTAACCAACAAAACATTTCACAGACAACAAATATGTCATCATAAAGTCTTGGTTTAACCTCAAAAATTGTTTGCAAACCCATTAATTTCCAAGCAATAGAAAATATTATAAAGTAGTACTGAAACAAATCTTAACTTAATTATTTTCATTAATTTTAATAATTTAAAAACAGCATGTTATGATATGTTCAATAATAATTAATGAAAAATAAACCTTTAACTTCAAGCAAAGTAATGAAAAATTCCCTTTATTACTTACTTAAATCGTTTCACAGTAATAGTTTGGAATTCAAAACGTTTCTGACAATACTCTCGCACAGCTAAATAATCTAAAAGTTTAAAAAAATATTAATTAAACAAATGCACGTTAATGCTAATAAACCTAAAACTTTGGCAATATCTCAGATTAACATTCTAATTAAGAGAAACTGACAACTATAATGAAATGAGAAGCATAAAAAGTGGCTTCTTCACATTTTAACCACACTGCCACAAAATATTTATAAGAAACAAATAATTATTAAGATAAGTAGCTAAAAAATACTTTTGAACAAATTAAAATAAAAAATATGAATTAAAAATTCTTCAAATTTTAATTTTTAAAACTTGATTCAAGCATTTTCCAGTATAATGAAGAAAGGGTGATTTTCAAGATCTTTTATACAGAAGAAGAAAAAAAAATAATAATTATTGATTTATTGATGTTTTGTTTCCTTCTATCAGTGATTAATTTTAGCAAAATTTATGCAATACTTCATGCGGTAAAAGTTTTGCCATTTGTTTTTCTTTAAATCTTGATGAACTGCTTTCTAAATGCAGACACAAAAAATGATAGTCATGAAATAAGAAAACTTTAAAAGGAAAATAAAACTGATGTGCCACATGCATAAACTGTTAAGAAACTTAGTTTAAAAAATATGAGTCAAAAGTTTCATCTGATACTTTTTATAATTTATGATCAGAACTAAATGTAACTTTTGAATCCTTATGACTTAAATCTTACTTATTCTCTGAATAGGGCACTGAAATCTCAAACCCACTTCTTCACCAACTCTTGCCATTGCTTATAGTCTAAATGCACCTAAAATCATGCCCTCACCCAAAATCATGTATTTTCTTCCTATTGTTCTTTTCTATCTGGCCCATGTAAATGCAATAGAGGTAGCTTTTTTTCTAAAAGTAGAGCTCTTTTAAGAGCTATTGTTTTAATTCAAACTTTTTTCAAAAGATTTTAAATTTTAATTTTATAAGCGCAAAAAATTTTAAAATATATCTTTCTTTCGAAAATATTCTAGTTTGCATTTTTATGTTTCTGGGCCATATGGCAGCGCTGCTGTGACACTTTGTAAGCCACTATTTTTGCTTTTATTTTCAATATTTGGTATTTTACAAATTTTATGCAATCCTTTAAAATATGCTCTGGCTTTAATTTTTTTTTATTATTATACTTTATTATGACCTTTTTTACCCAAATGAATAACTAGATAATCAAAATATTCTATGTCCTCATTTCTTGATTTTTAATTTACAGCTTTAAAAAGCATTAAGCATATTCTACTAGAATTTTTTAAAAAATAAATTAAAATTCTTTTGAAAGTTCTTTTCATTAAATAGAAGTTCATTTTCAATCACTTAATGTTATTGAATCACAATTTTTGATATGCAATTTAGTTTAAAGCGGAAATTAGGATATTTATTGGATAATATATATAATATTCCATTACGTTATATATTGGATAGATACACTATATATATCTTAATATTGTAATGTAATGGAAGTTTTAATAATCTGTAGTACTTAAAAAGTTCTATCAAATTGCATGCTATTTAATCATGAATACTTCATTCAATTTGATAAAAATAATCTTACCAAGAGAGCCAGAAACCTTTACTTCCTTCACACTTTCTAATTTAGCAGATGGGAAAATTAAATTAGAACCTGAAAAGTTATTTTTTTTAAAAATGTTAAAAATGCTTAAAACAGGACAAATTCAAATTATTCCTAACAGTATTAGTTACTGATTGAAAAATCAATCATACCTTTAGCAACGTTTGATACATTTTTCATCATTCCACCAGATTTAATTGCAGAAGTATCAACCATGTTAGTGTCTGCACATCCATTTTGTGTTGCATGGTTCTCAGTCTTGTCAGTTCGATCCATTCCATTAGCTTCAGTAGATTTTTTGCAGTCAGTGTTATTAGTTGAACTATCTTTATTTTCTAAATTCTCTTCAATACCCTTTAATTTGCCTTCAGCTTCCAATTTTTCTTTCTCTAATTCTTTTTGGTATTGAAGGCAAGGTATGGCAGAAATTGGTATTTCATGTTTCTAAAAAATTTTAATTTAGACTTAAGTTTTAATATCATAGAAATTTAAATTTCACATACCCGAAGTTATCAGGGTATGAAATTTTAATTTCTATGATAAGTTTAAACGTATAATTATCAGGGTGCATAGCCAGATTTTTCAACAAAAATAAGCACTTTTTAAGCACTCAAAAAATATTTTTAATCACTTCCCAAACAAACAAAAAATCATAATTAAGATCTGTGGAGTAATAAACATTATTTTTTTCTATTGTTTTAAGTTTTTAATTTATAAACATAAAATCAATAAAATTTGGGAACATTTTCAAAAACTTCACATAATCATGATAAAATAAGTTTCTGATAAATAATTAGTTCCGTAAATATTGCAGTGAAAGAAAATTGTGAAAATAATGAATTTTTTGCAAATCAGAACGACAATCGATACGGCAAAGAAAAAAATCTCTAAGGTCTAATCTAAATCTCTTTTAAAAGATAGAAAATTAAGCACTTTTAACAAACCCTGAATAAAAAAAGAAACGTAAATCAAAAATAAGCACCATTAAGCACTTTTGAAAAACGCTACGCACCCTGATTATACTACATTTTTTGTGCTTAAAACAAAATATAGCAAGATCTAGAATATTCGCCACAATAAAAAATGAGGTATGTTAAAGCAGTCGTCTGCTGTCATCCCTCCCTTATTAGTTCATGGGCAAAACTTGCTAAAACTGTTAAGTTAAACTCTTTCTAGGTATAAATTTTCCCATTTATGTAGTTTAACAAAAATAATTTTTTCATTAACATCTTAAGATATGTAACATGCATTTTTAATTATACAGAAGAGGGGAGGGAGAAAGGAGTGGGATGTGTTATCCGATCGGGCTTGTTTGCCATACCCCTACCTTTCCGCCACATTGAAACAGATTTTAAGAAGCCTCTTTAAACATTTTTTTTAAAAAACCACTTTAAAACCAAGATACCAATTTAAAATTTACCAATAATTTAGACTTAAAATACAAAATCACTCTTCATTGTACCAAACTCTTTCATTATAACCAATTGTTATTCCGTAGAATATAACATCATTTTCATCAGTGTGCCTGAACTAAACTCTATGTTCCAATATAGAGTCCGAAACCGAGTACAACTTCATACCTCAAAAACAAGAACTAGGCATGTTTGCTTACATTGAAAAAGAATCATTTAATAACAAAAGTTTCAGTTATTAGAAGCATTTCTTTTATTGTTATCATATAATGCACTTAGGAACATATAAGATTTCCTTCGAATGAAGGAAGAGATCTCTAGATTCTTTTCCTTCATATTCGTCATAAAATATTAATTACTTTATTGATAATCAAAAGAAAATATAGCAGCTTTGGGGGAAATCTGCACACTTCCAAACATTCAATTGCTTTAAAATGATTCATACACAATGAAACCATACATTTATACAACATTTATCACTCTTGGCTTAAAAACTTACTTATTCTTTTTGGGAAATGTCAGTCACACTTGGAAAATTTAGTTTAATGTTAAGATATGATGCATTAACTTGAATATAAATTCAAGTAGCATATGCATGAATATTCACATTCTTACAACCCTACTTTCTGCCTAGACATTTCTGTTTTTTTAGAAACAAAAACTTTCTTTTTACTCATCTTTGAACAAGAAGGGTGGAAATCGCATAGAGAAAGTGTGATTAAAGAGAGTTTAAATTTTGTTAATAACCTTTTTAACATTTTAAAAATAATTTTCAGAATTTTCTTCTTTACAAAACACATACATTTTCATTACTAGTTGAAGAAATATCTATAGCTCACTCTTCTAAAAAATGCAGATGCCTCATTTTTTACATCTTTGTTTTTATAATTTTCACAGGCTTTTTCTTACTTATGACTGTCAAATGACTTGAGAAAGGGAAATAAGTGTGTCCAAAGATTTGCTTAAAATTTTAAGCTAAATTTAAGAATTTATAATTTGGTACTTAATGATAGTATCTTATAACTCTTTTTTTTTTAAATTTTAAAATTAGATTTCGGTTCATGCACGATGAAACTGCTTAAATGCTAGGCGGTTAAAAGAAAAACTATTATACAACAAAATGGCCAAATTAACAAAAATGGAACAGAAATCTATATTACTCTATAGATGGCAAAGTTTTAAATTTATCCAGTTTAAGGCAAAATACAGTAAGTATAACAATTTAATTATTTAACTTCAAATACCTCAGAATTATAGAGTTCATACAAAAATAAGTAATACCGAAGAATCACATTTATACTCTTCTTTAATCTCATTTAAACTCATTCTTCCAAATAATTGTATCAACTGAAATCGATTATGAACTTATCCATGGATTTAGTTTTTTCTTTCAATAATAATAAATCAGCACCACAAGAGTTTTCTTTATCTTTTTTTCTACAGTCATTTTATACAAAAACATTATAAGTATTGCCTCCCACACACTGATGTGAGAACAATTATTAGAGTTAAATATTAGAAATTCCTCAGAAAAAAACAATCTTTGTACAGCTTGACTAAATAAATGCTCTTTATGTGAGCAACAAAAAATATTATGTTAAATTAAAATTGGTAGCTTTGGTTTTGCTATTTTCATTGTTTCTTCCATATTTTTCAGGGTTCCCACATAATTTCAAAAAAGAAAAAAAAAATCCCTAATCTTTCTAGTTCAAAGTAAATCCAGACCATATTTTATCTTTATCATGCAACTGCTGGTTGGAAAATTTTGATTTTTTTTAAATTTGTTATGTCAAATATTAGATTTTGTGAGCAAAAAATTATCATAGAATAAAAAGTTTCACAAAAAAGTGGAGTTTTTACAACAAATAATTGTAGTAGATGTTAGAATTATTTAAATTAAATCTCAATAACTGATTGTTATAGACAATTCTAAGATCAGTTATTTTCCAGGTAAAATTCAGGAATTTTCCACGTTTTCGTAAAAAAATGCAATTTTCTCTGATTATTCCCTACTTTTTAGAGTAAAATAAAATCCCCCGACAATTTCAGGTTTTACCTGTTCTACCTGATCAGTGGGAGACCAGTTTTTATTATTACTAGAATAATGTAGTTTGAACATCATGATTTCAGCATTTTCAGAATTAATTGATAAAAATAGATAATTTGAATATTTTGATTATTAGAAGTAGGTCAAAGTCCTAATTGCTTTGAATGACAGAGATCCTACATTAATACAAATAAATAAAAATTACATAGTCTGATTTTAAATCGAATTATTTTTATTATGATCAAACAAAGATCTTACCCTTGTGCTGCCAGGTCCCAGAAAATAAGGTTTTGAGACACAGCATACTCTAGTTTGCTTATGAAGATAGATAGGTATTCCACTGTTATGAGTAACCTCAATCCATCCTTCAGGTAAAACTTCAAAGTGATCTTTTCCTCTAACTATAATGACAAAGGGAAAGAAAATACAACATCACAATGAAAGTGAAAAATATAGCAGAATCACAACAATGCCAGCGAAAATGAAAAACAGTTAAACATTCAATCTTTTCAGTCAGTTAATCCAAGACAAAGAAGTTGGCTTTTAACTCTTTGAACACTTTTTTCTCTCTCCTTTATACGGGAAGTCTGATAATAATTTTTTTTAAAATTCCAAATCATATGACTGTGACCAAATCATATGACTGTACCAGGATTTACTGAGTCGATTTGTAGCATAATGTTCATATAATCAAATTTGTCTCAACATTAAGACACTCAGAGAATATAATTTTAAAATCAATAAAAAAAATTCAACTCTTTCCATTAAGTAACTTATTCCTTTCAGAATAACACGCTACCACCTCTAAAAATGGATTTTTACTGGGAATAAACTCCCCAGAAAAGTGAAATTAGATATACTTTACTTTGCATAGACAAATTAAATCAAAAAATAAGCACAACTAATTTATGTAGCTAAAAATTTATGTTAATTTAAAACATTGGCAAAATTAAATAACTAAACAAACCAATAACTAAAAAAATTTTTGAAACTATAAAAAACTTTCTTAAATTTTCCAAAACTATAATCAATTTACACTAATTATTTGCATTAATTTCATATTAATCTTTCCTTAAATTCTATCCACAGAATTCTTCCACATATTTTTTTTCTTCTTTTGAATCTGAGAGAAAAATATGCAGATGCTGCATATAATCTATAATGCCTGCTGTAGAGGCACATGATTTTGGCTATCTGCAACAGTTTTCAATCATTTAAGAATTGTAAATAATTCATTAATTTTAAAAAATACAAATTTTTAGAAAATTGATGTGTAAATACACTTCACAAATACAACATTTTTAGAGATTTAGGTGAAATAACAATGGTAATTGCTCAGAACTTTCTGAAAGAATGAAATGTAAAGTATATATTTCATTAACATTGCAGTACTCATATTTTCCTTAACTATAAAATATACTTAAATAAATTCCCCTACATTGTTATCAACATTGAAGCATTTATAAAAGCATTGAAAAGGTTGATTTGAATTAAATTTACATAACAAATACTAAATAAGTTTATATGGAGCAATGTATTTAATAATATAATAAATAGTTTAGTAAATATGATGAAAGAGGATTTTTTGTAATTGGAATCTTTAATTGTAAATACAGATAGTAATATTGTAGAGGAAAAATTTTCAAAAAAAAAATAAATCTAAACATGTAAACAAAACTTTCTTGAGAAGGGTTAAAGAATTCATTCGCAGTCACATTTAATGAGATCTTAGCAAATGGACATTTCTAAAAGTACAATAGAGGAAATTTTAAAGTTGTTTCTTGCATATTGCAATTGAGAGGATAAACTATTGTTTTGACAGACCATGACAATTTATATTTATTAGGATAAAATTCAGTCACTAACACTAAACTGAAATGTTTTACCAATGGTAAAGAGCAATACCTTTTAAAATTAATTTCTCTTTCACTTCATGCTGATTTTCTGGACTTGGCTTTCCATAGTCACCTAGACCAGCTTCTAACATTGCATCAATTTCATTGGCAGATATTTCTGATTCACTATCAGAACTTCTTGCCTCTTGATCTGGATCATTATCATTACTTTCAAACTCATCCAAAATGTCAAATTCTATTTCTGGTTCTTTATAACTAAAATAAAATCAAACTTAATCAGAATGTTTAGCAGGGGTAGTAGCAAAGTTTTTAAAAATTTTAGGGTAATTTTAGGAACTTTTTTCAAAAAATTTTAGGTAAATTTTAGGGGTAATATATGATTTTGCTAGGATAAAAACAGATCACACGGTAGTTTATTACATAACAGAAGATTATTACAATTCATCCACACATATCATAAATAATTGCAAGCCATAAAATAAAGCTCTGAAATTTATTAAGTCAAGAATGAAATCTCTAAAGTGTAAAAATGAAATTTCAACTTTACATATTACCTATCAGAAATTAAGTGCATAATTCAGGAACAGGCAAAAGTGAGAATAAATCAAGAGAAAAAATAAATTAACACCAACTTGGATTTTTATTTAATTTTTACCTTCTTAATCAAAACTTTATTATTACCCTTTACCTTACTTTATTAAGAAAAACTATAGTGTGATATTATTAGATTTCAAATCAGCAATTTATATTAGAAGTTAGAGAAAAACAAATTAATCATGATCATTTTTCTAAAATATTCTTGATATGATTTGTGAGATTCTTTTACTGCCCTCAATAGTGTTGTGGTGATCTTCAACACTCCTCCATAATTTCGAATGGTATCTTTGATTAGTCTAAGAGACATAATAGTATTCTCATGGTGACTCACATTAAGCATTGCTTTATTTATCGAAAAACCTCTCTCAGGATCAGAATTCCCATGTGGCAAAATTAAAACAGTTTTAAATAATGTAGTTAAATTCTTATATTTTAGATTATTGCTTTTTTATTTATATTTAGCCTATAACTCTAATTTTTTAGGAACACCAACAAAATTTTATCAGATTTTTAGGAATTTTAGGGTTTGCACATAGTTTTAGGAATTTTATGAATTTTAGGGGGAATGCGACCCCTGGATAAAGGTAGAAGTTTTAGGATCCTTTTGTAAAATAATTTTCTGTGCTCCCGATTTTGATTTATAAACTTAATACTTATAACATTTAAAGCAGGTTCATGCGAAATATCTTAATTTATAAATAATGGACAATAAAAATTCATATAAAATTAACTAAATTATTATATGTAGAATATTTTAATTATGCTAAATTCAAAGAGGCAAACCAAAGCATAAATCCTTTAAAAAAAAATCAAAGAAGTATTCTATAACTTTTGCCTTTCAGCAGCTTTTTTTTTTTAATAAAATTAATTTCATTAAAAATAGTATATACAAAATTCAAAATTGAACTTTGAAGACTGCATTTTTACTCAAATAACATAAAATATGCAATGAATTTCAACTGAATATGCTATAATTGTAGTAAATAATCTCTTTTTGAGATATATATATATATATTTGGAATTAGGCTTTTGTTTTACATAAAAAAAAGTCTATTATACAATATATACAATGATTTAAATTGAACCTATATAAAATAATCATTAATTATTCAAGCTATTCAGTTTGTCAAACAAATTTTCAATTGATTTATTTCACTTGCATTAATTTATTATTTTTCTCACATTCAATTACATGAATAACATGTTACCGAATTATAAAATTAAATTCTTAAACAGATAACAATCCTCATAATGCTAATTTGTGTTACCTACTTGATATATATAGGTATAATTTAAATAAAGAGGCACTTGTTATGTCATACTTATTGAACAATCAAAAAGAAAAGAAAACAAGAAGGATTATCGAATTTGCATGATAATAAAAGCTTAATAATAAACAAAATACAACTGTCTAAACTACAATAAACAATTAAACTTTAATTGCTTTTTTCTTTACAAGAATTTTTTATGAAAAAGATGAAAGAAGACGTAAAAGATTAATAAAAATTAATTTTCATCGAAACAGAACTATTATTTAAGTCAGTAAAATCAGCCATCATTATTAAGCCAGTAAAATCAGCCATCAGTAAAATTAGTTCATAGAAAATGTTCAACTCCATTTTTACAAATAAAAAAAAAATCAGCTTTATTTTATGCATAATGGTAGAATTCTATATGTAATAAACATAAAAATAAATGTAAGCTTTGTTTTGTTTAATTTTTGAAAATAAAATTGAGTTAAGATTTAGTTTAAAAACAATACTGGATTTCTATCAAAATATTTAGCTTACAGCTATTGAAAGAAAATTTAAGGAAAAATAAGTAAATAAATAAAATTAATACTAGAGCTATTGTTAAATTATTAAAAAAACACTACTTTTAAAATATCAGAACATCACTTAACTTCTCATTTAGTTAAAACAAGTCATTTACACTAATAGTTAAATGCTGAAAAACTTTAATAACTTTGTTTTAATTTTTTTGGAACTAAATTCAGTTAAAAATCTATAGGATTAAAAATAATAAAATTAAAGAAAAAACATTCAACAAATTTCAAAAAAAAAAAAAAAAAAGTGGTTGGAAAAAACTAACATTATGCACATTAATTTTAAGAATTTAACGACTTTTATAATAAAAAAAAAAGCTCCTTTCAATCCAAAGTTGGGTTGATTAATGGCTGAATATTAGATAAATAACTATAAGCTTTTTATTATTTCTTTTAAAATAAAAACAAAAGCAATAAAAAAATAAAATTATTTCAATTATATATATACATGCATCGACATAATTAAAGAAAAGAAGAAAAATACAAACTTATTACAAAAAAGTATAAATTATTTAACTACAATATATGCCATTAAATGTCTTTCAATAAATAAATTAAAAAAATGTTTAGAATAGCAATTAATGAAAAAAAAATCATTAGACATATAAATATTTTTTTTTTGACAAATAGATTGAGTTCAGAACCAAATAATACAGAGCAATCGCAAAATAATAAAGGTTCTACTAAAAATAAACTGCATGAAATTATCCCTGTGGCAGAATTTTTTCCGCCTTTCTGCGACTAACTTCCCTAGCACTGATATAATATATCTTGCTTTAAGATACTTTTAATTATAGCAATCATTAATTTCAAGTAACAGAAACGTTGCAATTACAGGAGAAAGTATACAATTAAAATGTATAAAAAATTTCAACTGTAAAAGTAATATTTTTTAATTTCTATTATAGGCAATATTCTCGCATTTTGTTGGTGGAAAAATACACTAATTATTTCCTCTTTCGAATTTTGCAAATCATTACATAAAATCAAAATCCGTGAATAAATTAAGCGATAATAAATTAAAATTCGTAAAATCCAAGCAGTAACTCCCAAAATGAAGATTAACAACGAAATCACGCAAATAGGACTCTTTAAAAAAGAGTTACTCAAAAAAATTTATGTAAAACAAGGTGTGCTTTAAAGAAGAAAAAAATGAAAGAAAGAACACCATTTCTAAAGCGAACTATCTTTTTAAACTTTCGCAATTTCTGAAATTTTTATTTCATATTAATAATTTGAAATTCTAGCTAAAGCCAGTCATCACAGATATTTTTTTTTAAATCTCAAAAAAGAATTTTAAAAAATCAGGATTATTTCTTTCCTCTCTGATACGCAAGAAAGACATCTTTGAAAGAAAAAAAAAGTCTGCAGAAAGGAAAACCAAAATTTTCCCCTACCCAAATGAAAAATCTTTCTGCAAGGGGGAAGTTATAATAAGTCTCTTTATAAAAAATTTCATGAAATAAAACAAAATTTAAGACAAGACAAAATTTAAGTAATAGAAAACTGAAAGTAACAAAAAAAAAAAAAAAATTCTACATTCTGAAGATAGACCTGAAAATAACTACAGCCATGTGGTGACTTAAATTAAATAAACAACCAGTCATTATTCCGTCGTTTTTTCTTTTGAATATCTTTTAATGATAAATACAGAAAGACTCTGGAAAACAGAATTTCATTAAAATGTCCAATTTATCCATTCAAAATTTTGATCCTTCAGAATCTATCAATTTTTGATGGAAAGATCCTTGTAGGGGGGGGGGAGGCTCTTTTTCAAAGTTGTAATGTATACAATAAATTATTTTGCCTTCCAAATATTTTCACATTAAGTTCTTTAAAGTCAGTAAGTTTAACTAAATTTTGTCTTATATTTATAATATTCTTACTATTGAATAAGCTTTTAATAGTTTCAGATTATTTTTAAAGTGAATTTTTTTCAAAAATATAATTCAATTCAAGCAACAAAAAAAAAAGTTTGCAAAATGTGGCTATTGAAAAAGGATCTATCGATATTGGTCATAGACTTATTAGGGAAAAAGTGCCTACTAAGTTATTGGAGTCTATCAGCCACAGACTAAAATTTAAATTAAAGTTATTAAAGTTATTAAATTAAAGTTTTAATTAATTAACTTAAAATTTAAATTTTCAGGTCAATCCGACGATGAAACACCCACAAAACTGCGACTGAGATTCGTGCCATTCAGCATCACGAAATAAACATGGTAACAGTGTTAGTATAGACAAAGATCCTCGCACGTTAAATCTTTACATTTTGAGTGGCTTAAACCAGAGTCAAGATGCATTACGAGAAACGAAAGCCATTATATCTGTATGACGATGTATGTGTAAAATCAGCATTTCACCCAGTCCTAGTTTTGACATTAGAACAAAATAGTATTATATATAAATGACATTTAAAAAAAAAACCTTACGAAATATATTACCCATTTTGAGATTCCATTTGATTTGATTCATCAGAGGAAATTCCCAGCAGCTCATTACCTTCATCACCAGAATAATCTTCATCCTGACCCTCTAATTTCTGTTCTTTAGAATCCAGTTTCTTGTCCTTGATTTCAAAATTGTTATTTACAACAGATTCAGATTGTGAATTGCTTTTCGAGGATTTTTCTAGTAGCACTTTAGACTGACTATCCATTTCACAATTATTGTTAGACTTAAGTGACTCATCATCATAATAAACTAGAGATTCTTTAGAATTTTGATCAGTTTCATTCCTTGCCTCACTATTAAAATCATCTTTAGAAAGATGTAGCGGTACAAAATCCTTTTTTACTGCCTCATTTTTGAATTTGACTTTTTTCGATTTATTTATTTCTACATTAAGTTTACCTTCAAAATTAAGTTTAAAAGGGCAAACTTTAACTTCTTTGCAAGAAGAACCACTCTTTTTATCTTGATCCTTTGTATCAATAGACATATTCTTATCCTCTATTTTTGAAGAGTTATTTTTAACTAAATCATCGTGATTAGAGTCAAGAGAAATAGCTTTTAAGTCATTTGAACTGAAAGATGCATTCTTTTGAGATGATTGATCAAATGTACAAGTACTTTTAAGGTTGGGTTTTAAATTCTGATCTATTTCACATGCCTTCATTTGGCTAATAAAGGTGTCATTAACCTTAATTTCCTCATCTCTTAGGTTAGTGATAGGTTCACTATTCAAAGCAAAATTAGTTAATGTTGGAGAAAAAGATTTTATTGACTCGAGATTTACCCTCGATTCCAAAGCTTCAACTTTATTTTCTTGGTCTACATCAAGCAAAGATACTGGCTTTTTCAATTTTGATTTATCATCTGATTCATCAATTTTAATTACTTTAGGAGTAAAAGTTTGAGGATTTAACAATTGCTGGTTAGCATCAGAATCTCTTGATTTTAATGGAGAACTGGTTTTGAAATTTTCAACAGACTCATCTTTGCTACCTAAATTAGAAGTATCAGAAGAACAGGCAATTACTAAATGATGATCAGTTGTTACTGCAAAAGGTTTTTTATCAAGAATTATTTTAGTTTGTTCTGATTTGACAGATAAATTTGTTTTCTCTACTGAAGAAGGAAGTGATGTAGAAGGACAAATCTGCGGCTGAGCGACTATAGATGCACTTTTTTCCTTATCTAACATACATATAGAAGATTCTATACAGATTTGCTCACTGGGAGGATTTCTGAATTCAATTATTTTAGATTTTTTTGTATTTATATCTGCAATTGTAATATCCATTGGTGATAGAGGCTGGGTTTCTGATACAACTTCAGCAGTATCACATAATTTTATTTTTTTCCTTGCTGGCTCTATTTCAGTTTCTATTTCTGAAATCTGTTTCTTTGTACATTTTGCACTCGTTACATTGCCACTAGCAACTGGAGAAAGAGTTGTAGAAGAGCCCTGTACTACTGTTGTTTCCAATCCACCTCCACCATACTTAGCGTCCAACAAGTCATCAGTATGTAGATTGGACGGTTGCATGGTTAGCGGTGGTTGAGTCAGCTGCCACACTTGAGACTTATCTCCACCTTGCACAAAGTCCAGCCTATTATCAGACAGCTTAGACGAATGTGAGGTAAGAGATTGCCTTTGAACACCTGCTTCATTTAAGTTATCCAATTTGGTATCAACAGTTTCTTTCTGACTAGGAAGACTTTTCAATGGTATTCTCTCCCTTAATGCAGCACCGAGTTTAAGAGAAAGAGCCGGAGATATTTTAAGAGGTTCAGGAGATTTAGTGAGGATGCCATCTTTGGACAGGCGACATAACGTAAGGGCTACTGGCTTCATTTTAACGGCTATAGGTTTTGTTGCAAGTGAAGTTGCAGAATCTATTGCTGGTTCACTAGATGATGCATCTGGCTCTTTGCTGGAAGATGCACAACTTAATTTTATAATAAATGGAGAAGTTTTTTGAGGTGTGGTATCTGGTGATTGATCCATTTTATTATATTTAAAATTCTTTTATATTAGTTAAAATTGATAATTATGAATTAATTAAATAGTAAAACTCTAAATGCCACTAGAATTTTACGTCTAACATACATACAATATTGAAAAGTAACTAAAATCATTATCTGTGCATGATTCAAGAGTAAAGCTCCTTAGTTCAAGCTAGATACCCAATTTATTCATCTTTACATCAGTATAAAGTTTCATCGATAGTCAAGTAATCTATAAATAAATAAATAAAATATTATCATACAAAATAAAGACATCATACAAAATAAAGTAGAGACTTATATAAGATTGAAAATTTATTTTAGTAAACTATTTGAAATTCATTACAACATTATTTTCTATTTTAAACCATGATACTTAACCCTCTAACCATTTAGCTACTGGACAAAATTGTACTGAAATTTCTTAGACATGCATTATTTTTTTATTCAATACACCATGAGAAAAACCAGTTTCATACAAGAAAGCTGAAACCTGAAAGTTTGAAAATAGTCAGGAATAATGCACGCTCAGAGGGTTAATGTTAATACGAACACAGCTTAACTATATTATATATTCAGGGGTCTGTCTAGGTTTTTCTGAGAGGTACCTATTTTGTGAAAACTTAGACATAATTTGTGAAAAATTAAAAACTATATAAAAAAATCAACACAAAAATACGGTAAAAATATGGATTTATCGTTTCTTAAGGAATACAAAAATAAAATTATAAGAAAAAGTATTTTGTGAAACTACAGTTTTTCCTAAAGTTGAATTTGTGAAGGTACCGCTAAACGGTAGCAAATTCGGCCTAGACAGACCCCTGATATTATACTACATGAAGGAGGTATGTATTTATTAGGTTAGGTCTTGAATAGATGGACTGTAAAATTTTCATACTGATCATTCACACTTTTCATCTGACTTTTAAGGGTTGGATTTTAGTCCTGCTAGTGGCATAAGCTGGTCTAACTGGCAGCAAGTAAAAAACATTCCCAATATTTCTATTTTCTGGTAATAACTAAATGACACTTGTTTAACCCTTTAATGGGCTATTTATTTCTAGTAAAGGTAAATTAAAGTATTTCTGGAATTGAAATTGATATCAGAATCGTAATTGATATAAGGAAGAAAAAAACTAATTTAGCTTATAGAAAATTAATCTAAATTTTATTACCAATTTTTTTTCTGTGATAAGTATATTTGCCACAACCTATTCGGAACTTATTCATTTTCATTTTTCGTTACTCATAAAATAAATTTTATAACTGCTACAAACTTCAAAAGGAATTATGTATTTTATAACTTTTATACATTTTCTTAAACTAACAAATGGTTACCAAATTTATTCAAACCCACTTCAAGAAAGTTATTAACAAAGGTAAACCTTTGTAGGTAACAAGGTAAAAAAGTTTACCATGAACTTTAAACTAAAAAATTCAACTTTTTTTCAACATTATAAGAATTTGATAATAAATATTTAATAAAATTTAATGTAAAAAAATTATTAAATCAAAACACTTGAACATGAAGATGATATTCCCAACTAAGGAATTTTTGGGCCATTAACGGATGATTTAGTTCAGAAACAGAATTTTATGAAAAAGAAGTTACATACAGATTTAAATCGGCCGTTACAGATTATCATTTGTCTTATCCAAAGTATTGGGGATTAACCCCTTATTTCCGAAGCGTCACGAAAAAACATCTACATGCAAACTCCGGATAGGTGTTGTTTCGTGACTCTCCTGGTGAATAAGGTGGGGAAGATAGCTTCGCGGTTGTTGGGGTTCATTGGGGGAGGGGAGAAAATAGGATTGTCAGTTAACATCAATTAGTTTCCTCCCCTTGCATTGTTGAAAAGTCTTCTCCTAAGGTTGCTATTCTTAACTTTAAAAATTGTAGGCAAGGTTCTTAGAGAAAGCGCCAAACACCAAATTTTATCTTCTAATGCAAACTTCATGGAAAGACATTGTTTTAAATCAATAAATGGACGTATCCTGTGCCATAACGAAATGCTTCACAGCCCTTTTTTATAAAAAAATAATAATAAATAAATAAATAAATAAATGTTTTTCTGACTTGATGTTAAAGTATTTACAATTATTTAATCAATAAGAATTTATAATTGTCTCAAATTATAATTAAAACTAAAACATAGCGTTTTTTTTTTCTTCTCGGGAATTCCTAAGAGCTGCTATACTTTAATAATTCTTTTCTCTTAGCCACAAGAGTTTGTCATAGTGCAACCGTTAAGCAAACTTCGAATAATTATGGAACATATATTAATTTCTTCGGTTTAATAATTTTTCTTTGCATTAACACTTTAAATTTCAAAACGAAATTATAATTTTTTTCATATCACATTATGAAATTTTATTTTTGAAGCAAAAAAAAAAAA